TTGTGACCGTGAATCGAAAAATCACGGCACAACACTTACCCATGTACCAGCGTATAAATACATCTAAAATAATTGTGTGTAGTGTATTGCGCTAAGTGTTTTATATAAATGTTAAGTAATAAAGTGAATTTATGGGAACAATAATAATTGATAAGGAAAACACAGATAAGGATAGGGATAAGCTCAGGAGACTGCTATGACCTTAATTAACGTCCCACTGGCCCTAATAAAAATCGACCACGACTACCACCTCAATTTTTGGAAAGTACGTATTTTAACGATGTTGCGTAGCAGAACTATTGTTAAAACCTATCAGGAACTATAGAACTCTCATAGAACTTCCTGAAAGCCATAAATTTGCTATACTCAGCTGATACCGGAAGTATAGCATAGATCTGACTTATATTTGTGTGAGATTTTGGTGATGCATTCAGAAAGTCTTCCCATGTTGCGCGGTAGTGTCTGACTATATTTCCAGCTATTCTTGTTTCCGAGTGATCTACCGCAGATTCTGCTACGTACTAAATAATTTTTCCTCGTCCACGCGAGTCTTCTGGATTTTGCCAATTCCGGGTTTATAGCGCACCGACGAGAGAAGAACACTGTGGACTCTCTATTAAAATACATATTTATACATATTATATTAACATTACAAAAATGGAGGTGCTACACGGGTGTCAGCTCCAGCACCGCACTTTTTTAAAATCTCTTAAAAATGTTTCAACAATAGGCTTTTTCGATAGTTCTCGAGGAGGTTTATAGTTCCTGGTAGATTTTAACAATAGTTCTGGTACGTAACATCGGTAAAATACCTATTAAGGATACTAGTCGCTCCATATGCTTTAGTGCAGGTATGCATAAGTAGCTGGTTTTCAGTGTTGTTTTCAGTTAACAACAGTTCTGCTACGTAACATCGTTAAAATACCTATTAAGGATACTAGTCGCACCATATGCTTCAGTGCAGGTATGCATAAGGAGCTGGCTTTCAGTGTTGTTTTCAGGTTGTGTTTCAAACAGTTCCGGAATAATTCTCTCTAGTACTCAATGTCGGGACCATAGTTCCGCTTGGAACTATTGGTGAATAATGATGGAAGCTAGCACCGCATCGCTGCACTCCTTAACGCAGGCAGGCATACGGTGCTGGCTTTTGTCTTAGTAAATCTTATCGAGCTTACACTGTACATTTGAATTTAAGATTACAAAGAAAAAAGATTTAGGCAATATCTGATAAGCGGCCTGTCTCTAAGGGTTGCTCTGGGAATCGGTTGTAAGTTGTAGAGAATCTCTGCCCGCCAGGCTACCCGTTCGTGATCACGTTCAGCTCGGCTACGACGGGATATGCATTATCAACGGAGGCGATGATCACAAAATTCTATTCCCGGACTCGCCGCTACGATTTAGCGCCATGTTTTTGGTATAGCCTTACACCGTAGCGTTGAGCATCTCCCTACTGATCTTTGTAGAGTAGTACAGAATAACAGTCCATAGCAGTCTGAGAAGAGAAGTCGACGAGCTGAGGAGCTTTGGGTAAGCATATGATATATTGACGTTTGAACAAGTGTCTGACATCTCCTCTTTGAGGAGATAGCTGGACATATACGATAGGAGAGAAAGGTTAACCAGTGTCAGTGATATAGCAGGGGCTCAAAACAATCCGGATTACAAAGATGCCGTGTACTAGTGAACTTTCTCGATCTCAAGAATATCTAAGTTTTCGGAGTTCAGTTCCTCTGCGCAAGATCGTAGTCGATGCCGATGGAACAAAGGTAAAATAATCTTATTTTCTCTTGTTTCTCTTGTAACTTGTGGCTTTACTTATAAACTTTTGACTGTTGGCGAACAACAACAATCGGCAGTTATCAATTGTTTTATGTACATACAGTTTAATGAGAATAAATTTAATTGTTGTTTTCCTTTTCTGTTTCATATCACACAGGGATGGAAGGTTTATGACTCTAGTCCCAAAACTGTAAAGTGTCCATTGGTTTGTTTACCACCTGTCAGTGGGACAGCTGATATATATTTCAGACAAATTTTGGGCCTTGCTGCTAAAGGTTATCGAGTCATATCTGTAAGTATCACTAATAAGGTATTGATTGGTTATTGTAACAAGCTTTTAAAATTGAATATTTTTATCAGTTAAATGATCATGTAGCTGAATGATAGATATCAAAAATTATATCAGAATGTCAAGTATACTGATATAAAATTACTGATCACCACATGCTGGGACTGCAATAGGACATTGTTATCAGAAATTAAATAAATGCTATAATTTGTGATAAAAATGTATTCTTCATCAATAGTGCTATTGAGTTGCTTAATTTTTTATTTTTTCCTCTGCAGGCAGAGCCACCAGTCTATTGGAATGTTAAGGAATGGTGTGATGGCTTTAGAAAATTGTTAGATTACATGGAGTTGGATAAGGTTCATATCTTTGGTGCATCTCTTGGTAACTAAAACAAATTCCTGATGAACAAAATAAATTAGTTTTTCAATTCAATTGACCTTTGATTAATTCACAGGTGGTTTCTTGGCACAAAAGTTTGCTGAATCTAATTCGCATTGTCCTAGGGTTGTTTCTCTGATACTTTGCAACACATTTACTGATACTTCTGTGTTCAGCTACAATGAGTCTGCTACTGTGTAAGTGTAAGAGCGATTTAAAGTATCTAATTAGATATCCCTTGTTTTTAAGACATTTTTATCATAAATGTATTTTTCTACAGATTCTGGATCCTACCATCCTTGATACTTAAGAGAATGCTTATGGGTAACTTCAGTAGTGATAAAGTTGATGGTGAGATAATAGATGCCATTGATTTTATGGTAGAAAGAGTAAGTAAACAAGCAATTGTTTCCCAAGATATATGTTATATACTCAATAAATGTAATAGAAAGATCGAATGAACGTATGTTTATGTAAATTGCAAATCGTAAATACCAAGTAAAGTTTCACTTAGTTATTTACCTGATAATTCCTTCTATCTGATGAATGATTCATAGTAGCGTGCTGACACAAACAAATTCTCATACAATACTAAATTTGCCATTGCGCAGAATGTATCTTATACGTATTTATGTAAACAACTAAGGATACATTCCAAAATCTATTGCCAGTAATGTGCCCAGCTTTCTGTTCTTATTTAGTTGTTTGAATTGAAATTGTAATTATAGTGACAGTGCTGCTAGTGAATTTTGGACCATAATCTTATGTTAGTAGTTACGATAGAAAATTATAGACCCGATAGTTCCACTATGTTTAAGTTTAGATGATACCATAACTGACTCATCTTGAAATTAAATATACCTTGACATAGAAGTACTAATCTGAGTCTTTGTGTGCTTGGAAAGCTGGAAAGCCTGACCCAACCGGAATTAGCATCAAGGCTAACGATGAACTGTGTAAACTGCTATGTGGAACCTCAAAAAATCTGTCACCTACCTGTCACCATAATGGATGTGTTTGATGAGTATGCTCTTTCAAATGGAGTACGAGAAGAGATGTATAAATGTTACCCAAATGCTAAATTGGCACATCTTAAAAGTGGTGGGAACTTCCCGTATCTAAGTCGCTCAGCAGAAGTTAATTTACACCTTCAGGTAAGATACTGATTTGTGATATTTCAGGTTAGGTTAAATTAAATAAAGCAATATTGTTCTATATCTTGAAAGATTTTATATGAAAATTCAGCCTAAGATCTAACATATATATATATATATATATATATATATATGTTAACTGCTTTCATTATTTCTTTTAGATACATCTCAGACAATTCGAAGGCACTGAGTATGCAGCATCTGAAAAGATCAAAATTTAACAGTTTCTTTTCCTTTTTATTGGACTACTTGTTGCTCATTAAAATACGTAAATACCTTTATGCCTTCACGTGATTTAATTGTAAGAGGTGGCCTGGTAATCAGCATCTCCTTTATTGACATTTAAGTAGCCAATTTGACCAAACAATCCACACAGTCAGTTTCGATATTAAAACATATGAAAAATAAGCATTTTCATCTGATAGTGTAGAATAAGAATGTGATATATTAAGAGAATTTGCCAGAATTCTCGATACTCTATTAGTCACAATCGAAGAATCTATAGAAAATGTGCAATCTAGTTGGCATTCCAGTGCAAGGCAACGATGCCCTGTACTTTATTGGACTCTCTGAAAGAGAGCGATTGTAAAGAATGATTTAAAATATTGAATTACCGTGAAATAAATATAAGCTAAACAATTTGTAAATATGTATTCCATGTATCATTAAGATATAGAATCATTTTGTTACTGAATGCAATATGTACTATAAAAATATATATACATATATATATATAATTTTACATTAAAAGAACTGCATATTAAAAAAGAAACGAAAGAAAACCTGCGTGCCTCTATGATGAGTATTGTAATCAAATATACAAACCGCCATAAGATATGGCGTTACATAACGACTAATTTTGAGATCGGTCGTGGAGACTGTGAATACTCCATAAGACATACATATTTTCGTTTCTCTTAAACACATTGTATGTACATCCATACGGGTGTCCACGAGTAGTAGAGAGTCCGCCACTGGGTCCTCTGGTGGACACTGTACCACTTATACTAATATGAATATACTCATCAACAAAATAGCGTTTTTTAAATACATTTATGTTATTTTATCATATTTCTTACAAATTGTATATACTGTATCTATTAAATAATTTTAAAATTTTTACGAGTTTTGTTCTCAGATACGTTCTTGGATCCTTGATAAACGACATAAAACCTATGTTATAAGAGGTAGAGATTTACGTGTACGACAATGGAAATATTACAACTATTAGTTCCTTGGGCTTCTATTTTCTACAACGCCCGCTAAAATAAACGTTGAAATTGTGATCCGTACGTTTTTGCGTTTTTAAGTATTCTGGAGCACTGTAATACTATAATGCTTATAGCATACAGGATTTTAGCGGAATTATCTAATCTCGTATACGATTTGAAAGAAATAATCAATGCTGTTAGCTATGTTTGTTGAAATCAGTAGTTAATGGTAAACGCAACATCGAACAGCCGTATTCTTGATCAATAAAAGTGTAAAGTCTGAACAAAATGTTACATAATATCCCAAATATAAAAATCCAAATTGATTTTGAAATGATTTAAAAAAGATCTAAGGCATCAAAGTTGTCTGTTAGGCATCTTGAAGATAAATTTAGGATGTTTGGGTTGAGTGGAACTTGCATCAGAAGTTTACAGAAACGGTAAATGCTACACTTCAAGTACTTCTCGAAATTATAAGATTACATGTTTCTTAAAAATCAGAATCTAATTTATTGTCCATTTCTAAGAAGGCAATTGAAATGAAAATTACTGTAAAAATTTGTTATGATCTAAAGAACAAGACGACAATGGTCTTTTTCTATGTACTCTAAAATGCTACTGAAATCAACTAGAATCTCAATTTGAACATTGAGATTAGCTTTCACTAATATTCAAGTTAACACTTTGAAGTCTAAATGTTTGTCACTTCCTTTATTTTTCGTGAAAAATTGGCGACGAAAGATTGTAAAGTTCCTTGATTGCAAACCTGAAATTAATATAGAGTTATCATCATATTTTGAGAGCTACCTTGTAAAGTTATCCATTCAGAATAATTCATGTAAGAATTATTGCTTTAAAACTTATAAAATTCTCTTGTACAGTTATTTGTGCAAAGAATTTTCTTGCAGATTTATTGCTCACAGAGCTGGCCCATGTAAAGTTGGGTTTTACTCCAATAAGAAGAAATATCAAGGCAAATAAGTATCCTACTCCATAGATAAAACAAATTGCATAAACCTCCGCTGAGACAATTAAAAAACAATTGTATTACGTGTACAAAGAACCTATCCTGTCAATCTGACTTAAAAATGTGATACATAAATATCTCTAGGCATATCTCCAAAAGGTTAACGAACAGAAGAGACCTTACAAGTACATGCCAGGTGTCAGTTACATACTGGTCGGTATCTTTTCACTACGAGAATCTCGAATTACTTCGCAGAAACTCGGGAACCTTCGTACCTTTCCGGTACCTGGTGAACGTGCAAATAAACGACAATACAAGTTTTGTATCTTTACTTAACAATGCTCACCAACGATAGCACCTACAATTATTATACAGAGTTATTCACAGTAAACGCACCAGCTGAAATTGGCCCTGAATGGGTGATTTCATGAATCAGAGCAGGGTGTCATCAAAGAAATGAAAGTTAAGGTTGTAACATTGCTTTTACCATGAATTTCACATTCTTTCATTTGTTTAACAAAGTCACACTACCTCGATTAACAGAATTTTCAATTGCGCTTTTAACTTTAACTGATGCGCTTGCCGTGAATGACCGTGTGTAATAATATTCTTATTTAATAATATTTTAAGGTTAATTAAACGTGATATGCGTATAATATACTTTGTAAATACTTGACACTATTACGAGTCGAGTCATCCTGTGCGTATATATCCATATATCGATATACGGATGTACGCTACGCACGTACCTTCAAGGTGTGCGTACACCGGAGAAACTTATTCAGGTTTCTTCTAATGTTTCAGTAACACGCTGACTCTCGTAGAACATGGCTCTCTGCGTCATATGATGTCAGTTTACTATATGTAGAGTATTATATCTATATAGACGACGAGTCAATAAACATGCTTGTAGAATATATTTTATTTTTTACGATTGTTTGTGCTGTTAGTGTTATTTGTGGATATTTGAGCTTCTGTGCGGATATTTTATCAAATATCATAACTGCATTCCCGATAATTTGTGCCGTTAATATTATTTTCAGATATTTGACCTTCTGTAACGATTTCTTATCGGGTATTAGAGCAGATTTACACAAGTGTATTATTATCTCATCGCGCAACCGTTATCGAACATTAGCGTGTCATCCGGGGGACTGCAATTTGGAAGATTTTTTTTTTTATTATATGATAATAATTAAGAGGATCATTGTTTTATTTCGATCGACACTTTTGTATTGCATTGGAACGTGATTCTTTTTGATCGCCGTGGTAAAAGTTGCAGTCAGGAATTCTATCCGGACTAATTCGAAGTTTTGCGAACCATTCCGAAATCTGTGTCCGCCTCAATCCGAAATCATTCGAGGGAAACCCAAGCAAGTTTTGAATCATTTTCATTCTGTGTCTCACCTCCAAGTTCAATCCAAATGAATCCATAGCACATCCGGAAAAACTATTTCAATCCTTTTCAATTCGTGCGTACAAACCGCATGAATCTGTGGTCTATTGTGACAAACTTTTTAATATTTTTTAATTCGTACGTCGCATCCAAACGAACCCGAGACTTATTCTGAAAAACTTTTCAATTCATTTCAATCCGTGCATCTAATCCAAATGAATGAAAACCTCATCCGGAGTAACTTTCAATCCTTCTCAATAAGTCAAACAACATCAAGTTCAATCTAAATGAATCCGACACCAATCCGAAATAATCTTTCGAACCTTGTCAATCCTTGCATTCAGTCCGAATAAATCGGAAAATATTCGAAAAGAATCTTTCAAACTTTCAGTCGAATTTGATTCCTATTTTTCACGGACTCGCTCGGAATAAAACTCATTCGTTCGGATACAGATTTCGGAATTAAATAGATTCAGACAGATAGACATTTTCCTATCCGAAACTTTCTGGAAGATCGTTATAGTGAAGTAAAAATTGGACATGGCATGAATATATTTTCATGTATTTCATGATGCTGAAAATAATATTTTGCAATATATTAAAATTATTTGGATTGTTTGTAAGTACCAATTAGAAGCAAATTTTATTGAATATTTCTATGGAGACTTCAAGTTGTTATGATGATTGATGATAGTTATCAGTGTTATATTTTACAGTCATTATGATTCTGATATAATGTGCATATTTTATTCATAAACGTATTTAATTGATACATCCTGCATAATTTAAATGACACTTAAGGTGACGTTACAAAATGGTATTTTTATTTATTGTTCAACATGGTATGATACTAATAGAATCATGAATGCTATAATTGGGCATTGTTCACTTGCCAATATAATAATCGTGCAACTAAAAGCAAATGGGCATATGCTTGCTCAAAATCCCACGATTATACGCCCTTTTGCCTTTGGACATGTAATATTTGTTTTTAATACAAAATACTTATGATTGTTGTTGAATTGAATGTGAAATAATTATTTTTAAGAAATGTGAAAAATCCCATTAAAAATAGTTTATGACTTGTGAATATTTATTTGAACGGACTTTTTGTGTATTGCGTATAGTGAAAGTATAAGACAATTCTGAACTTGTTCGTTTAACAAACTGGCAATAAGAATGATTTTTGCAAAAAAACGTGTAGAGTAAATATTTGAGCTTGACGCTCACAAAGATTTCGCCTAATAGAATTCGATGCAAGAGACCTGTTATCGATCTTAAAAAGGTGGTGCATGGACGATCGGTGGCAAACTTCAAGATGGCCGCCGAAAACGAGTCAACGCCGTTACTCAACGGGAGATTACGAATTTCCATTAAATTGTCATATTCCCTCGGACACATTTTCAATGACTTGGCAGCAGCGATGTGGTTCTCTTATACGCTTCTTTATCTGCAAAGAATAGCATTATTCGAACCGATCACTGCAGGAACGCTGTTACTTTTGGGTCAGTCCTTCATTCTACATTATCCAGTATAGTAAAGTTTCCCATTGCCAATCGTTTTTTTTGCCAAGGATAATCGATAGTTTTCCACTGATTTCTATCGATTTACCACACATTACCTTAGGCAAGAAAGCCATCAGCAATGGACAATTTTTTCACATTACAGTACATTGATTTTTTATCAAAAATTTCTTTCTTTCCCAGGTCAAGTCGTAGACGCTTTGTCCACGCCAATCTTTGGTATTCTCGTAGACCGGTATAATAAGAAAAAAATATGGCACATAATCGGCTCGGTTATGGTAACCGTCTCTTTTCCTGCAATATTCGGCACCTTCCTTGAGACTTCCGTTACCACAGCCATGATCGTTTACGTGGCAAGTATCACAATATTCCAGATTGGTTGGGCAGCCGTACAGATTTCACATCTATCCATGATTCCAGCCATGACGAATTCTCCACTCGAACGTGCTGATCTGACGGCTATGAGGTACTCAAAAAATATATTACAAGAAACAAAAATATTGTCATACCTGATTTATCCGCCAATACCCTTCTATTAATCTGTATAGATATTCGGCACAGGTTGGCGCTGCTGTCGTCGTATTTGTCATCACATGGATTGTCTTGCCAAGCAGTGAAGATCCGACGGTCAAGCTAAATCAGCAGGATGCTAGCAAATTTCGGGTACCCATTTTTTGTTTTGAATTTTTCAAAATTCTATATCTCAGTCTAGCCACGGATTATTTTCCGTCCAAGAGTTTCTATTCGTTATTGCTTTTTCTTCTTTGCAGAATATCGTTCTGATATGCACGGGTCTGGGAGTAGTAGCTACGGTCCTGTTTCATATCTTCCTGAAAACACGTCATATCGAGCAACTCAATGGTGGCATCTGTACAAAGAACCAAGAACCTGACACACTCATAGAAAACGTGACTCGCAGAAGATTCACGTGGTCCGCTACGACTCTCCTGCTGAGGGTGGCTCTGCTCTACGTAGCCAGCAGACTCTTCATCACCCTTGCAACAGTCTACTTACCTCTTTACATCGAGGAACTCGATGTTGGTCTTAAACAGGAATTGGCTACTATTCCATTGACCTCGTACTTGTCTTCGTTTGCTGCTGCGATATTATTAAAATATATTACCGAACCATGTGGAACCAAAGTTAGTAGGATTTTTATTTTTAGCCTATAACAACGTCTCATTGGCTTTGAAATTAATCTAGGGGTATTGCCATTTCTTTTTTTCTTTTCAATTAGGGTTGCTATCTTCTCGGTGCTCTCATCGGTATTTTGTCGGCTATTGTCACGGAGTATGCTGGAAGTAGTCAACCCGCTATCTATGGAACGGCCATCTTAATCGGTGCCGGAAGTTCTATAACTATGGTTACCGCTTTGAGCGTTACTGCTGAATTAATTGGGCCCAGGACCGAGAGCAGTGCTTTGGTTTACTCCATTGTGACGTTTTTGGATAAAATTGTTACTGGACTGGTTGTCATTCTCATAGAGAGAATGTACGTGTCACGCAGATTGATAAAACAAAAGATTTTTGGAAAATTTTTTTAAACAATATTATTATCTTTGCAAACTCCATTTATCCGTTTAAGTCGTTTATTCGATTGGAGAATTGCATTTAAACAATTCTTATTCCACAATCGGATAGAGCGAATTTATTAATTTCCATAATTATTTAATTATCACATAATAGATTGTCACTGAGTAATCTGTCAATCATCAATTGGAGCATAACGGCACTTTTTGAATTTCAAAATCTGTTTATACCTTTGTTAACAAATCTGTCATCCCTATGACTTTTGTATGGCGCATCTTTAATTATCTGCTATCAATAATTTTGATGTACCGTTGTCACTGTATTATGGAAAAACTTATTGTTTCAGGAGATGCTTGGAAAAAGAACTGTGCCCAAATTACAACAGAAACACCCTGGCAGTGGTGTGTGCGTCCTCCATGATTTTGGGGTTACTGACCTTGATGTCCGTGGCACGTTGTCTAAATTGATTGAACGTTCATTAACCCATAAATTAAGCACAACTATTCCCTTTAGGGACAGTGTCTACAGGACGATTTGAAAAAACTGCAATAGGCAAAGTAGTATTTTATATTGTACCTCAATTTCATTGACATATATTCTTCATATGAAGCTGAAAAAATTATTTTTTTTGCAGAATACCCTTACCTGACATTTTCTATATATCTATATTTCACGCTCAAAATGGATTATCTTTTACAGAGACACGTTCAATGTAAACAATCAAGAGACCATTTGCCCTGTACGTTTGAAAACAAGAATTGTGTCTGCTGAAAGAATTAAAAGATTAGGATAACAAATAGGATATCAACTACTCGTTATATAATTAGAGCGAAGAGGTAATTAGTACCTTTGCACATATCGAAGTGAATACAGACAGGTCTACAAATTATGATACAACTAAGACGTTATTCCTCACAAAAAAGTAGAACGAGAGTTTATAGTTGCTTTACGTTGAGCCTTTAATTTAAAAAAAAAATTATTATCTAAAACGCGGAAGCCATTATTTGTTAACCAATTCACTGGAATCGTGACAATATATATTATATGCGTAAATTTCTCTAGACATATATTAACAACGAAGTCAACGAACTAAAGAAGCCACACTAAGCCGGATGAGTATCAATTACATACAAGTTGACGTTTATTCACTATATAGCTGGAGGTTTCACATTACATAAGAGAAACTGGCCGATATTTGCGACATTCTGGTCTGCGATGAATATGCGAATAATCTGAATGATACAATATTAATAATAATAACATAGTCTCTCTTGCCGAGATCTTGCGGACGAAGTGCGAGAATCGTAAATCTTCTCGTTTTAATCTGTATTTATGAATGGTGCCAATTACGTCTTTGAATTGCATTTTATAGTGAAAAATTATTATCCTAGATTACACTGACCATAATAAATATTTTTTAAATCTCTCAATTTAAAACAATTTAATTCATATAAGATTGAAACGTTTTTTGCGCTTGTTTCTCATAAGATTATTTTAAAATTACATTTGTTCGTATAGCAGCATCAAAACAAGGTAAATAAACGAATAAGGTAGCCTAAATTGATATTTATATCATTTAATTAATAAATTCGAGTTATTCAATCCATGCTGTGGGATTTACACGAGAGTGCAATTTTTTGGAACTTTCATCCATTCCATGGCAGTTATGCAGATTGACACGATGACAAGAAATAAACTTCACTGCATAAATATGATATTTATAGTATGTATAGCAATACAATATTTTAGATGATTGATTTAGTCATATTTACGTGAGAAGTATTATATTAGCCTTCAGTTTTATTGTTATATATTATATATTCTTATGTATTTATATTCTTTTCAGCCTCCTTTCTCTTTTTCAAGTCCAGCTTATCTCCACCTCCTTCTCTGAAACTAGTAGACGCGCTTGTCGTCTTCCTTCAGGACGATGTGCTTGCTGTGAAAGTTGGAAGATTCAGTAATTCACATAAAGCGAGACTCTCGTAAGCCGAAGATACTGCTATTATTGTTGCTACTGTTACTGCTGTCGTTGCTGCTGTTGCTTCTTCCAATCACGATCCCGCTGCTCGCCTGAGCGATCATGTCAGACAAAGAATCTTCGTGCGAGTGAAAGGACGACAGAGATAAATTCAAAGAGGATTCCGACCCCCTCGAAGATGGTATGGAGGTCATGGTTATGAAGAATGACTTCTAGGAAGTTTATAACGAATTCGGAATGCCGATCGGTGCCAAGGTAGGTATCACAGTTACATTTGTATTATCGTGCTCTTTTTACTGTGTTCACTCAGATCTTATATAAGTTCATACAGTTTTATGGATTTCTTTTCCTTGCCAATCCGCGGCTCATCGGTTGGACAATTATTCCTCTTCGTTAACTTGCCTAGCATGCTATCCAGCTTGCCCTTGTTGCTGCTCATTTGCTTATTTATATTTGACATTGAGAAATTCTGCATTTCGATCATCATATCTTTGCTCCTTTCGGTTGTCGTTGTTTTAGGATATCTAAATGAGATAAAAGATAAATAGATAATGATACTGCAACGATAAAGATAATCGTATATATATCTGAGTAATTGATATTTCTACATACCGAGCAAACAAATCTATAAGAGTCAAGGTGCTGGAGGCTGCAGGTATTATTGTTGTTTTTTCAGGTACGGTATACCTCAAATGTCTCTCCTTTGATTTCTTAAAATTCTGACTTGTTGGTTACCTTCAGTAAGTAACTTTGAGTCATAGGTTGTTACACCTGTCTCAGCAGCAACTATCTTATTACGTGAAGAAAAACAAATCGATCTGTTAAATAAATTAAGATAACCTTCGTATCTCCAATACGCCTCCACCACGTGATAAAACCGTTATCTCTTTATCATCGACCCCCACCGTACCGTCTAACTTTTGTCGTAAAATTTTTTCTCTGACTCCAATAATTGTCAATATATTATAATAATCTTTTTTTCCTATGATGACTGCTCTATTTATTACTATCGCCGAATCAATAACATTAAAGCTGGATATTCATACGGACGCCGGTATTCGAACACAGTACTTCGATTAGTCGATTGTCCATGACGGTGGCGGAAAGAAATTCCTCATTTTTCATCAATTAATAACCTGTGTTTGAGCTGGCGTCTATAAATATGAATATCCGACTTAACCAAAGAATGATCGTGCAATTATGTCCTTTTGAAAAGCATTGAATTAGAGTGTCCCAGACAGTCGACGCGCTCACTTCCGGTTAAGAGGTAAAAGCAACCCACTTATCGTTACATAATTAATTATCATTTTTACAGAAGGACTGTACTTTTTTTATAGACTGATGAAAGAAAAATTATTTTTCTTATTCGTAGAGCCAAAAATTCTAATAAAAATCTCCCATCTTGAGTCAGAGGACGCGAATGTTGTTTCCCTGTATAAATATGGCACTTATAGTTGTCTTTTCGTTTTTATCAACTCGAAAACAATTGGCCGCCGAGATCTGAAATCTCCATGATTAATTAATTATCGATTAGGTTAGTGATTTTATTAGCACTCGCCGTTTTATCATTGCGGATTAATTTGTGAATTATAAATGAGAGTATAAGTATGATTTTTAAGGTTGTAATTTTTAATGAATTCTTGTTATTCGTCTCATCGCTAAGCCACCCTTATCAATATCGATTTTGTCACTATTATTATCTTGGCGATAACGTCCACCGTTTAAAAAGATATCTGGAAAAGGTAATCCGTAGAGGCATTTCTAATTGTCAATGATTTTTTTGCCAAACGGAAATTTTCCGGCGGATTCCTATGGACACGTCTCATATCAGAAGTTAAGAGTATACTTATTTCATACGTTGTGTAAAAGGATCATATTTGCTGGAGGATTATAATTTTCTAGTGCTAATTAGCAGTTTGACATGAAAACTGCTTAGCTAATTGCCACCTATGGATAATTGGTGCTTTCAGGTATATTGACGTTCATAATTATTCGTTTAGACTTTTTTTAGTATTATCTGGTTCGTAATAGATTGTTTGAGAGTTGTGATTAAACAATGAAGGCAAAATTATCCTATTGGCTTTTCTCTGTTATTATTACCATCCCATAAGAAAATTTATTTATTTTTTTCTAAACCCACGAATTTATAAACTTCAATATGATAAGAGATTATAGATCTAGTACGACTGACATTTTTTGTTGTAATTCAAAAACTTTCAAATACCTTACATCTTCAGGCATCTCAATAGTGTATAATAGAGTGTATATCATGGCACAAACATCATATCTATTTTTCTCATGATGTATATAATAGTGCACCACTACGATTTGACATCTCAATAGCGAACAGATCTATCAATAAATCTCTGAATAGGGAAAAAGTTTATTCATTTCTTTAGTCTCATTTTCAATTCAGTGACCAATTGGCGAAAAGCAATTTGCTGTTGTCGGCAACGAAAAAACTCGTCGATTCGTCACTTAATTCTTACTCGCAGCGGTAATTTTAAAAAATGGAAGAAATATTTTTGATTTCACAGATTTTAAGTCCAGAGTTCGTTAACTATTAAGAGGCATGACTGTATCTTGTTTTTTGAATTATTACTTGTACTAATTCTCTTAGAATATTTCTAGTAGAAATTTTATTATGAAAATCAAGGGCCTGTCGAGGTCCTTACAAGACTCGAACTGAACCATTGGGGTCCTGGCCAGGCCCTGAACTTACACAGGAAAATTTCTACCAAAAGTTTCATACAAATTATACTTCTAGTGACATGGTATTTCGTAAAATAGAACATTTAAGACGAATAAATAACAATATTTTCTTCTGCAGCGAACTCAATCGGTTATCCATAGACTTACAATTCCTATAAAACAATATGGATTGCATTATTATGATAGAATTGGAGACAAGATTATTTATGCGTATACTTATACTAGTTAACCCTTTGCAAACGGGACTTTCTGACGCACGGCGGTCCATCTTACCACGTGGTTTGACATAAGATTTGTTAAATAAGAAAATAGTCGTTTTTTTTTTTTTTTTTGAAAGAAAGGGCCATACTGATACCCAGTGCAGGGCAGATTGTTACGTGCCTGCACGGGTTTTACGAAATTTCGTAAAAAGGATCGAGCACCTGTTCGCAGACACCAGTTCACAAAAGGTTAACGGAAGTATCTGGAAATATCTATGTTGAATTAAACTCGATATACAACTGGATGTTTAAAGCAAGAACAAATCCATGCCAAATGAGATAAGGTAACGTAAGAAGAAGGCTTTTCTTTTGGACTTTGCCAAAAAGTATCAGAGTCATCAGAGCAGCTACCCATTGCACGCAGGATGCTGCTAGTCCCTAAATACAAAGAAGGAAATATATAAAAAAATTTAACAAATTTCAGGTGTCAAGAGGAAAATAAAATGTGTATTTAATAAATTAGACAATTATTTAATTGCAAGATAGACAGAGTAGAGATTTCTTTTTTTTTTATCTGTTCAGTGCGGCTTCGTGCCGTCTCGAGAACAAATGCTAGATGAAATACTAATTATTTGCAAAAATACTGATCAGACATTCAGACATTCGGTCTCTTTGATTGAAGTTTTAATATTTGCGATGCCACGAGACATGTTTAATTCGTTTGTTTTCTGTAATCACTAAAACCTCAATGCATAAACTCGGCTTAACTAGGTTATTAGCCAATCAGACACTTGCATATTGAAGATAAACGGATGTTGTGGGTCGAACCGCGTTAAAACAAAAGGGGCCTTAATCACCTTTATTTAATTGATCGACTTCTATTGTGAGCCAGAGAGTGATGAAAAATTTATGTTACAAGAAAATGTAAAAGTTTGAGAAAAAGATTCGAAGTGAAAATGAAAAAAGGAATAGAAGTTGTGTCTTTATTAATTAAACTTTTTTTTGTTAATAGGAATTCATTTGATTTCTCTTACCAACTCGCGTGACTCCGTTTCGAAGAAAAGTATGAACCACGCATAACTGGCGGCCAACTGAATTACGTTGAATGATTGAGGCAAAATTAAATTACAAAATCCGTTTCCAACCTTCCAGACGAGATACGAGGCTGCGCCTATGAGGATGTACGAGAGCGAGTAGAATGGTTTTGATAAGTTTTCTTTTGGAAACCATACGGGTCGTCCGAGATACTGGAAATATATTTTTTACGGATAAATAAATTAATGTTTTTTATACTCGAAAACTTAAATTTGTGGGAATTTTATTATAGAAGAAATAAAAATGAGATGCTTTATCTACCAATAAAATTCTCATCGTAATTATTTACACGTGACTGACGCACTTTGTTTCTTAAGTTTTTGGAAAGTTACCACTAATATGTACAGTGTCGAAGCAAAATATTGAAAAAAAAAAAAAAAAAAAAATTATTCAACTTTTTTCTTCAAAGCATAACCACTGATTATTTTATCTATTTTGAAACTAAGTTATCCAAATAATCTAATAAACCACGAAACATGAAATTTTCAACTCGTTCACTAATTATCAGTACGCACTTCAATATACGACCAGTGAACGTAGCACCCAATGATGACCCATCCGATGATCGTAGGACACAAAATGGAAAACAGCAATCCAAAAAATCCAATGATTGGTTCTTTGGGTGGCGGTCTATTTCCACCCCCTTTATTAGCCGACATTTTTCTCAAAAACGATATTCAAACCAAACGAAAAAGTTTGTAGGTTTCTTCACGGCTTATCGTAACAGTATGAACCCGGTGTAGTTTCCGCGCGAATATATCGCTGGCTTATCTCTTTCTCAAAATTTTCAGCGCGTCATTTTGCCCGATAACACCGTTACTCCATGCATCAACGCTGATAAATAATTTTCAAGCGATAAAAAGATAACCGCAAGTTGATCACGGCGATCAATTCTCAACAATAACGATGTTGCTTTTACGCCATCTTAACACTTAATTGAATATTCCTATTTTCATCTCGTCTTTTTATTGCATTTCTTTCAAATCAATTTCAAGCACACCTCTATACTTATTCGTCTACCCATACACGAGATGAGACACTATCTTTTTTCTTTTTGTATCTTTCTTAGTAGTACATGATAATTTTCCTTTCTTTCGTTTTTCTTATATTATCATATTGCAAAATATCTTTACTGAATAATTGCAAAGCATTGATTTACGCGTCTTTTCTTCGACGCGGTTCAATGCATAAACTCAGTTCAACTATCGTATCAGCCAATCCGCTACTTGCAAAGATAAACGGGGTTTATACATTGAACCGCGTTTAAAAAAAAAAAACGAGTTTTAGTGAACTGGAAGGCAGAGCAAGCAAAGGAATAAAATATCATTGTCTTCTTTGAAAAGAGATATCGTTATCTACAATACAATGGCAAGGAATCAAATTTAAAACTAAGAAGTCAAATATTTTCAATAGCTCAAAATTACACGTCTGGTTATGTCAGTCATTTATTATACAATAGTGGATTATAGCGGATAAAAAGAAATTTTTTTTTTATTGAAAAAACTGAACGCTTCTGTATATCGGCCATTAATTTTGGTACGATGAACTATTTTATCACTCCAATCGGTTATTCATCCGAGATGCTTTTGGAATTAGATCACGTTCAAATTGAGTCAACTAATATTTAGGTGGAATTCTGTATTTCAATTATAAATTACATTACACCTACAAAGTAATTGATATAAAAAATTGAGCTTAAGTAATTTAGTATAAATATAAAATAGACACAAGAAGTAGACACTACTTTTAAGTTGCTTCCGAGGAAAATAGCTAGCTCTACATGGCACTTATAATTAACTCTGACAATTTTCCCTGGATAATTACGCCCCATGAAAGTGTCGGGTAAACTATTTAATGAATGATGAGCGGAAATTTTCATGAAACCATTGCGCAAGACCCTTACGTACTCTCTACCTTACATTGAACCCCTTAGTAGAGATACGCAAAATCCCTTAGTCCGAAAGGGTACCTGCAATAGTTACGAGGTGATTGGTAAAAATAAAGAAATAAAAAATTCGAATATTGAAAATTAAAAATAAGCGATAATCATTCGTTTTGTATTTTTTGGTATTTTCAAAATTTTTAACAAACGTCCGCTTTCTTATAATTTTTTTATACGTGTGATTCGGAGTAATCTATATTATCTTATCTTTTATTATTGAATAATTTATATTTCAGTATCTTACCCATCCATCTTCTCCATACGTATGAATCATGGAAAGAAATGAGGACATTGATTATGCTATAAACGCCAATCGCTGGGCCTTAATTTTTTGCGGACTTTGGCCCTATCACGAAATCCAAAATCCACCGCGTCTCTTTTCCAAAATTATGTCCATCTTGCTATATATATTATCAGCAAACATTTATTTATCGCAATTTACTGCCTTGTACGAAGTCTTGGGCAATCGTGATGAACTCATTGACAATTTAACGTACAGTCTCGTTATACCATTTATGCAACTGAAAAGCATCGTCGGTCGTATGCAGCTGGACAAATTTCGTACTTTGTATTTGCAATTGTATACCGATTGGCACGAGGTATCGTTGAATAAAAAAAATGAGGTATGCAAAGTAACTATTATGTTTTATCAATTTTTATTTTTAAGAAATTGCATTTTTTCGAATATATACTTATATATTTTTATCAATTTCCAGAACGATTCGGAAATTTTTGAAAAACGCAAAATCATGAGAGCATATGCAAAATCGGGCCGATATCTATGCATTGGCTTGACAATAATGATGTACGCGACAGCTGCATTTTTTTTTGCTGAACCTATATACTATCTGATCGTTGAAAGAAGAACAAATATAGCAGAACGTTATTTTCCGTATCCGTCGTCGTACGGTACCGATTTGATGAAGGAGACGCCATTTTTCGAGGTTTTGTCATGGATGCAAATAATCGGTGGCAATTTTTGTCTCACTGCCAATTACGCGACTGATAGCTCAATTACTGTGACGCTACTTCATCTTTGCGGCCAATTAGAGGTGCTTGCTAACGCTTGGCGGGATTTGTTCAAAATTACTGGGAACGATAAGAAACTTATTAATTATCAAGTACAAGAACTTGTCAAACGCCACTTGCATCTTATCAAGTGAGACATCAATCGGTCATTTGTATTATTATTTTTTATATGTACTTTAGTGGAGGCACTTTTTTTCTTGCCATATGACATGTTAACCTATTTGGCCTGTCAGACTTCGCACCACCACTGGATGGTTAAACTTATAAGCTAGTGGGGCCCAGTCTGATACCACTTTATCAGATGTGCATACCTTGTTTCCTTTTTTTATGGCTGTCTCCTTCAATAAGTAGATTGCGCCAATGAGCTACACAGCCTTATGGACGTACAGTGTGTGCAAGAAAGAAAATATGATTTCTTATTTCGAGGACTGACATAGTATCTACTACTGGTTCTACTGTTTTATGTGTTTCACCCTCTAGTGGTAGCACTGTTTTCGTGCTATACAAAATGATACATATTGGGTCTGTCAGACCTCGCACCATCATTGGACGATTAAACTTGAGCTAAGTGCCCATGACAGAGGGCGCCACTGTACCAGTCGTGGATTCCATAAGAAATTATATTTTTGTTTCTATGTTACACACGCTGTATTTCCGTAAGAGTGTCCTCGACTGATACAGTCTCTACGACTGGGCCCCCACTGGGTTCAACCGACATGTGTGAAAATAATACATTTCTTGAGAATCTATTGTTTGTGCGCACCTACAGATTGGCCAAACTTGTTGAGAATACGTTCACGATGATTATATTTCTCCAATTGATGATCAGCTCAATTTTAATTGCCTTGATCGGATTCAATTTTGTACAGGTCAGTTGACAAATTTGTTGATTCGATTAATCATTGATTGATATTGAACATTTCCATTTAAGATGTTACAAAATTTGTGGACCTTGTTTCTTTAAAAATATCATTTGTTCTGTTGATTTTGGTTTTTTAGTCTCTTCAAAAATCCGACTTCCTTCAGTTTTCATTGATGATCAGCTACATGATCTCCCAATCCTTGTTTGTTTTCCTCTATTGCTACAGTGGTCAGAAATTACGTGATCAAAGTATAGCCATCAGCACTGGCATTTATATGTCCAATTGGGATGATATGTTGACGTCGCATGTTGGTAATGATTTTATTATTGTTATGATGAGGTCACAAAGACAGCTGGGCATTACAGCTGCTAATTTATACACGATGGATTATTCAATGTTTATGAACGTGAGTACTGACAATCTTTTTATTGATAAGGAGCAAATGGAAAACGTAAATATTTTGTGCATTCGTTTTGTGCACGTTAATCACAGTTCTGAATAATTGATGAATTATAGCTAGATTGGAATTTCAAAAATTAAATTAAATTCGTGACAAAACAATGGAGTTTTACGAATGCCCTAGAAATTCTTGAACTTAAAAACACAAATAAAGGTTTTTCATAGCGAATGCACGAAATTGCGAATTCATTCGAAATTGCAACTTCGAGCAAAACGAAGTACATTTACGGCATCGATTCTCTTAACAAAATTTCCCATTGCCAATGATTCTTTGCCAAAGGTAATTTGTGGTAAATCGATATAAGTCAATGGAAAAACTTTCGTATGTCTCATAATTTTTGGACACCCTGTATAGTTCAAGCTCTTTCTGAGATCCAATTGATATTTTTAACATTATAGATTCTCAAAACAGCTGGTTCATACGTGTCCATTCTACGTGCGATGTACTAGAAAATTAAATTTTTCAACAATGCAGAATAACGCAAACAATTAATACGAATGTAGGAAAATGTGAGCATTGTAAATTATACTAGCAGTAAGTAAGGAACTGATAGAAAGAATTGCTTATTCTCAAATTCACTAATGAATACATTGACTATAAAATCTTTCAGAATATAACGATATTTTGATTATTTTTTTTACAGAGAAAAACTGATACTGCACATATTTGGCAATATCATAAAATAATATTTAATAAAATTATTTTGCAAAATGGTAATATAAGAAGGAGAAAGTAAAGAAAATTACCATGTGCTGTTATGTATATAAAAAAAAAGAAAAAAAAAATGTATCTCGTCCTGTGTATGGGTACACGAACAAGTATGTGTGTGCTTGAGATTGATTTGAAAGAAATGCAATGAAGAGAAAAAATGAAAATAGAAATATTCAATTAGGTGTTAAAATGGCATAAAAGCAATGACGTCATTGTCGAGAATTGATCGCCGTGATCGAAATGTTTCGTTATCTTTTTATCGTTTGAAAATTATTTATCAGCGTTGATACATGGAGTAACGATGTTATCGGGCAAAATCGCTCATTGAAAATTTTAAGGAGATAAGCCAGTGATATATTTGCGCGGAAACTACACCGGGTTCATACTGTTGCGATAAGCCGTGAAGAGACCGTCAAACTTTTTCCATTCGTTGGAATTTCATTTTTGAGAAAAATGTCGGCTAACACAGGGGATGGAAATAAACCGCCACCCAAAGAACAAATCATTGAATTTTTTGGATTGCTGTTCTCCATCTTGTGTCCTACAATCATCGGATGGGTCATCATTTGGTACTTGGAGGAACGGTGGTACTTGAATGTGCGTAAAGATAATTTATGAACATGTCGGAAATAGTATGACTGATCCTTACATTACTTTTTGGACTTTCTTTTTTATTCGCAATATTTTACTTCTACATTGTGAACGTTAGTGATAACTTTTCGAAACTTTAAAAACAAAGTGCTTCAGATACGTGTAAAGTGCAGGATTTAACCTTTGTTGACAGCTGAAAGCATCTCATTTTTATTTCTCCCACAAATTTAGTAATTTTTTTTCTTCTCAGAAATTTAGTCTTCCGAGTATTGGCCATTTTTTCAATTGCATAAAAGCATTAAAAAAAAAAGAAAAAATCAAAATTTATCTCCACATTTTTATTTTTAATATTTCCAGTCTATTTTAGAACCCGGATGGTATCCAACAATGGAAATAACATACCCATTATTCTCGGGCTCGTACGTTCTCATAGGAGCAGCCTCGTATCTTATCTGGAAGGTTGGAAGTGGATTTTGTGGTTTAGTTTTGCCACAATTGTTCAACGCAGTTCAATTGCTTGCCAGTTATGCGTGGTTCATACTTTTTTACAGGCAGCGATCACTTGTGTTGGTAAGAAAAATAAAACAATCAGTTCCTATTAAAAAAAAAAGTTTAGTTCATAAATACATCATTTCTTTCCCTTTTTCATTTTCAATTCGAAATTTTTTTATCTAAACTTTCACATTATTATACAGAGCGATTAAAGAATACGAAAGAATTAAACGTGTCTCGTAGCATAGCAAATATTAAAACTACAATGAAAGTGACCGATTGGCCCGATAAAAATGTCTGATCAGTATTCTTGCAAACAGTCAGTAATTTATCTAGCATGTATTCTCGAGACGGCACAAAGTCGAACTGAACAAATAAAAAAAGGAAATCTACTATGTCCATCTTGCAATTAAACAATTGTCTAATTTATTAAATACACATTTTATTTTCCCCTATACAACTGAATTTTTTAAATTTTTAAATATTCCCTTTCTTGTATTTAGGGACTCGCAGCATCCAGCGTGCAATGGTTAGCTGCTCTGGTGACTCTGATACTTTTTGGCAAAGTCCAAAAGAAAAGCCTTCTTCTTACGTCACCATATCTCATTTGGCATGGAGTTGTTCTTGCCTTAAACATCCAGTTGTACATCGAGTATCGTTTAACATAGGTATTTTCAAATACGTCCGTTAACCTTCTGTGAACTGGTCTCTGCGAACAGTTGCCCAAGCCTTTTTATCGTTCTGAACGCGTGGTGACATATAATCGCCCGAAATTTCGTAAAACCAGTGCAGGCACGTAACAATCTGCTCTGCACTAGTATGACCCTTTTGATCGGAAAAAAAATACTATTTTCTTATCTAACAAATCTTATATCAAACCGCCGTGCGGTTGAAAGTCCCGTTTGCAAAGGGTTAAATAGTATAATTGTATGTAGAAATAATCTTGTCTCCAATTTCATCATAATAATGCAATTCATATCGATTTATAGCAATTATAAGCCGAGGATTAACCGATCGAGCTCGCTGCAGAAAAAAATTATTATTTATCCGCTTTGAAGATGTTTTGTAATTGTTTGATCAAATACTATGTCACTAAGTAAAGAACGAATTGTATGAAGCTCTTAATAGAAAGTTTCCTATATAAAAGCAAGCGTGTAAAGAGTTCGAGTCCGAGTGTGAGAGAAAAGAATGGATGGAATCAACGCGACATCCACAGGATTACAAGAGCAAGCGCAAACAGCAAAATAAACGTGAACACTATTCTGCGTTTTCATTTACAGTCCATGGCAGATCCTGAGATCCCCCCCTCCCCCCGGGGGGGAAAAGCACGAAACGCAATTTCCTTACGGCTGTGTTTCACCCTACGCATATACATATATTTAACAAATAATATAAGAAACAATTCGATGCTGTTGATGGAGAAGATACTGTAAATACACTATAGAATGATAAATACACTTGTCATAAGTTATTCACAATTTATTCATAAACGGGCGTATCAATAATAGTTAATGTAGAAAGAAAAATATATATAGTTTATCTTAATTGTAAAATTATGTACGCACGGGGAACTTGTGTTAATGTTAATGATGTTACAAATTTATGAATGTAAGGGTAAAGGAAAGACAAATATAATCAAACGAGGTGTCACAAATGAATAAATAGGTACATTAATTAATGCAATAATTAAACAAATTTGTAAAATGATAGGAATTATTTACGTTAATCGAATAAATTATACAAAATTATTATACAAAATTCAAGTGAACTGTTATCGTTTTATAGGTGAACTTATTTTCCTCGTACTCCTCGTTATGATCTCTTTTTATAAGATTATTATTACTTATTTCGTAATATGAGATTCATAATGTCATTTCTCATTAGGCTTTATAAAATGTACGAGATAAGGCGCCGACACGCGAAAAATATTAAAGATATAATGTGTATAAATAACTTTTAGTTCATTTTTAGAAAAATACCTTTTACCCAATTACAAATTTTTAACTAAACATCGCATGGCGATATTCAAAATTATATTACTAAATAGTTTATATAACATGTGACACTTAACCCTTTGCGATCAGCAGATTTCGCGTTTGGGAGTACCAGCAGATCGGAGCAAATCTAGCGTTTCGCAGTTACTTTGTCGTACAGGATTTAAAGTCAATGTATGGACTTCTACGACGGTTTAAAAATGTCCCCGCTATGGGGACAGCGACCGCAAATAGTTGATAGAACTTTTATAGTGTTACGAGATTATTTAATTTTAAGAAATAAAAAATATTTTCGCACAGTGATATTGAATTTACTTAATTGGGATTCTTTTCATATTTTCCAATTGTCATAACGAATCTATGATTTTTAGGAAATTAATGATAATAATAGAAATACTTAAATAGTAAGAGGTTAATTTTTGACGTAGATTAGACATAAGTACAAAGTCAAATATAAATGCAGTCAAAAAGAATTGACAGAAAGAGATGGGAATTAAGAAGAAAAAAATAATCTCATTGAGTGCGAAGAACTTCGTAAAATTTACGAAGTAACATATTTGATTTAACTTTCACGGATTTTCGTAAACTATAGACGTATTCACTTATTTTTAATATACAATTTTCATTTTTTTTCGATTTCACAATAATGTAGTTAAATTTTAAATTGTATATCTCTTAAAAACTTTAATAGAGATTTTATTCCACGATGAATAAGTATACATAACGTTTTTGGCAAGGAGTTTTCTTTTTTTTTGCTTGAAAATACAGTATTATTTCAGATCTATGTATCTTTTGATCTATCAAAAGTTGGGTAAGATTATTCTTGTAGAAAATCTATTATTGAGGTTTCTTGTGTGGCATAGAAATAGATTATATGTGGTAATACTTTGCGAAATCAACTCTCTATTATAGTATAACCAGCGTGTGTAACTTTGTGAAAAATATTTTCACTTTTTACTCTTCAAGGTACACTTTTGGCATTTTAATAAAGTATACAGGAGTTTCCAATGGTTTACTTACGAATACAGTGTCTTTTCGATCCACTCCTCCATCGTGAAAGTAGCTGTATTTGTTTTGTCAGGATCTCTTTCTCTGAAGATATCTATAAAAAAGAAAATCAAATAAATTGATTATAAATCCAGAGCAAACTATGACGAAGTGCCAAACAACCTTATATAACTCACCGATCATTGTCTTCAGCTTGACTGTGCACATAATATAATCATCGAAGGTAATCATACTATCCTTAGTACCATATCGATGAACCAAAATGTTAAGAATGTGATTGTTCAAACGATATCCAGCACTATTCAAGGCTTGTCGAAGTTCAAATGCATTCAGGAAACCTGAACCATCTCTGTCGTACAATTTGAAGACAGCCTAAGAATGGTGAACGTATATTTTGAGTTACGCATTTACTATTTCATGTATACTAATTTACTCACCCTCCAATTCCTAATATCATTCCATAGCGATTTAAACTCTTCGAATCCCAGTTTGCCAGAATGATCCACATCGAGCATAGCAACCATGCTACGGCAGATATCCTTGCTGAATCCCTCGTTATGCATTTCTGCAACAATGAATCAAATTAATAATAACCCTAAAAATTTCAAACTTCCCTGAAATGCAAATAAAAAATTTGTGGTTAAACCAAAATCAATGACCCTCTACTCTCATGATGAAATCTTAATGAATAATACTCAACAGCATATACAGTAATACAGTAAAAGCAATAATGTCATTTAACGTAGCCATGAGGAGCGTAACAAAAGTCATAGGAGACGAAAGAGATGATCAAGGAAAATTGGATGAAGCATTCAGAATTGGATAAAGCTGTTAACTTGAAACTCAACCGTAATAAGACAAAAGTCTCATAATTGGACCTGGTATTAAGTGTCCATAGCTTCAGTGACGACCCTTACCTACAGTTTTATTGTATTGTTCATTATTACAAACAATACCACACAGCAGTGAGATGAGAGTGTCGATCATAGAACCATCGCCCGGTTGAGATTCTGTGTAGCTAGCTTCACTACGTCGTACCGAGGGTGGTAATTCTAACCCGCAACATACAGCTACATGTTAGCTAAACTTTTGACACAACATGCCTCTGTAGTCTTTAATATATAGTGGATTCGCAGCCATGTCGTATTCTTATAAACATCAGGATCAGTACTGGATTATTATATTTTGTTTGGTACTACATCAGCTATTGGGCTACTTTCACAAATGAGCAGGAGTATGGATTAGTATTGAAACTTTGCCATGTTATGATTTCTATGACAGTTAATTGCAAAAGCCACAAAGTAATATTTCAAACAATTGTCAAACAGCATAAGTGATTATTGCGATATCGCAATTTTCAATAAACCAATCGTAAGCCTTGGTTTGAAATAACCATATTAGCCCCTTAGCTGGAATACCAAAATTGGTTTAAGAGCTGAACCCCTTACCCAGGAAGCGTAAATGCATCCTCTGGCAGCTAAAGGGTTAAGATCAAATGAACAAAATTAACAACAAAAATAAAATTGATGTCTTGAAATTTTTGTATAAAATCCTACAAATATTTACCGATGAGAATGAATGAGATTTATTTGGAAAGCAAATAACTCTCATTGTTCCGATTATAATTCAATCACAAACTTGGGAAATCGCAAAGCTGAAAACTTCAAATTTCATCCTTTAAACTCCATTTTGACAAGACTACATTGTCTTTCGAAATTGAGAATGCTGGACAATTTACCTCGTTAAGCAACTCCGACAATGACCATAACTGCAAAAGCACAAGTAACAAAATTCTCTTTAAACCAATTAATAAATTGTGCTAAGCAATTGATATCGAATGAAACTGAAATAAAGAAATGAATCAGTTAAAGTGAATTTTGTAGCTTTATTACAAGCAAGACTTTTGTTGCAATACTTAAAAATACGTTGAGTGTACTGAATAAAGTACTTGTTACAAAGAATATATGTTAAAAAATTAAAAAAAAATATATTAACTATTTTTGTAGATTACCTTTTCTCATAGCATAATCCAAAATTTCTTTGAGTTCCATCCAGTCGACCTCCAAATCATCACCGGCGAGTTTCCTGAAGAAGTCGCGGACCTTCTCCTCATTTTTATCAGGCTCAGGTTGATCTTTAACCTGTAACCAACCGTAAAGTTTTAATTAATCAAAATCGTCATTAGTACATTCTCATTATATTATAATAGCCACACCCACAAATTAGCAATACTCACGCTATCATCGTGCTTGTCGTGATCACCGTGATAGTTAATCACCTAAAAGCCAAGCATTCCCATGGGTGCAGAGTGTCGTTAGTATAACTGTGTCAGCTTGTTAATTATTAATTAAGAGAGAAAGGGTGCACGAGTATTATATATACGATCATTCATTGTTAATTATCAATGGTGAAATGATTCATTATCATGGATCAAGTAAATAATAAGTTAGGATTATCCGATCAATCAATATTTGTAAACAGACGGCGTTAAAAAGTTTAATTAATCAATCATAAGTTTAACAGCTTAGCGTGTTGTCTACTTAAGCTCAATAACTATCTGGTCCTGTTAAGCATATAGCGTTCTAGTAACGTGCATTCGAATGTTAAATCATAGTGCACAAGAGCTTACCCGGTCGTCGACCTCTCCAATGCCAACTTCTTCGTCGTTTTCCCTGTTAAATGTGCCAGAATTATAAACATCTATTTTTTTAAATCAAAAGTAATTAATAAACAGCATCCTTCAAAAAGGCAGTGTCATTTTAAAAAATAAATTTTAGAATTATTCAAAATACTCACTCCATATTATTCTTGTTTTCGGAGAAGATTCTAAGTAGAAATTCGCCTTCTTCGTTAGGGTCGAAGGTACTGGGAACGATGCAGTAAACTCCTGGCGGTAATTTAAAACGGCAGCTAACCTCGCGGAGGTTAATAAATGACGGTGACTTGGCGACCGATATATTGTACTTGAAAAAATTAATGTCTAAAGGCTTCGGTAGTCTATCTGGATATTGTAGCTGCAATGAAGACGTTTCCACGTAGTAATGGGACAATTTTTTAGACAGACTCAATTATGTAATGATTTAATTAATTACATGATAAATTGCAAATCCAATAGTTAGACAGTCTGCACCCATTCTTTTTTGGGCTCTTCGATTTTTCTGCATAAGCGCAACGATAACCGTACATTTATCGTCGCCCTCGTCAGGGTATTCCAAAGTGATACGGTATTGTGGATTGTGCCAGAAGGTCTCTACGAAATGAAATGACCTTAAATCAACTCGATAACTTATTATAATCTGTATAGATATATATACTGATTAAATATCTTATTATTTACCCAGAAAATTTCGGCAACCACCAGCTGTAACGCCGCGAACCCATTCACCCTCGAAAACGCTCATCTCCCATTTTTTCTTACCAGAATTTAGTTCATCCTCAGTCAAGGAGTCTGGATTCAAGTTACATATTTCCAGGTTGGTGAAATGCTGTTTAAAGTCTTGAAAAGACATCCAGAATTCACCGTCTACATCAAAGTTCAAGCCCAACTCGTCCTTTTCGTGGTCGGGGATGAATCGCCATTCTGGAGATCTATGATAGATGACAATATTTTTTTAATAGATAAAAACTTAATCACTATAATAGGATTCTCAACGTATTCGATGACGCATACGTTGCCAATAAACTTAAGTCATTATTCAATCATTATGTACTCAATACACGTCACAATCCATATAATACCAAAGGAATAGTGACGTGACTAGTAAAAATGAGTCACTATATATGAGTAAAATGAAAGATCCGTACTCAACTAATTACCTCAAGATCTTAAAGAAATGGAAAATTTCTGCAATCAATGATTAATCAATTGACTTACTGATCGCTCCATGGTCCATTCCATTCAGCTTCGTTACCCCAAGGATTCCGTAATCTTAACAAAGGAATCTTGCCGACCTGATTTGGTGTGGCAATGTCGACGTATTTCACTCTGGTAATACTGTAAGCATGTCCTCTTATAAGACCTTGAGGGGTTTCCGCTTCCAGAATGTTAGGATCGGGGTCCAGGGAGCAGCCCATTAAAGAGCTTCTCTCGTAAGCTTTTAAAAGAATGCTAAACAGATTTGGTGGTGTCTCATCCATCCTGTACATCTCAGTAACACCGCCTGTGAAATCTTCCATAGCCTCGCAAGTGGTGCCACCCTTAAGGGCCTCGTAAGAGCCATGGAGTTTTGCGTAAGCCTTCTCCAGGAGTGCACTCCAGAATTCATTGTGTTCTGCTGAACTTAGATACAGTAATCGACCATTATGAGTAGGTAGTCTATCGTCTATGACAACATCAACCCATCTACCGTATTGCCAGAATCTTTGGTAAAAGAAAATTTAATTATTTCTCTGGTGTTTGAGGAAATTGATTCTTCTCAAAGGAAGTAAAGCTTTACCGGAAGTGAAATATTCCTGCATAATTCTCCTCGAAACTTTGATCTTCAGGAACTACTTGAAAAAATAAGTTATGATGCATTGTCAAATTAGCTATCGCAGCCAGCAACCAGCAATCTCCTAATTCTCCTTGCTGAATATCGAATCTCGAAAAACCTTCTACGAAGAATTGCGGATTGTCTGCAATTTCCTGAAAATACCAGGTACGTTAGATTGAATTTCAACTGTAGTTCCAAATTATTAATTATTGTAAATATATATCTATAAATGTTTGTTGCTTACCATTGGCCTTCTCCATTCTATATATCGGTCTGGTCTCCTGGAGAAATATAGAGACGAATCCTCAGCAGGAAATTCAGGATCCTCGAAGAGTCTTCCCATAGATAAACATTCTTGACGTAGTTGATTAAAATCTTGTATTGCCCCACAAGGTCTAATTCCTGAACCTTTTTCTCCTAACTGTAAATACACAGTAAGGTTAAAAAATATTGAAAAGAAATAATTTCATTTCTCTCCAATATTACTGGCATACATTATAGCAAGATTTTCCAATATAATTTCCCTTCGTTTGAATAGGTTCATCAACATATGTAATTATTCTTTTGGTTTGAGTAGAAGTTTTAATAGGACAGTTCTTTGTATAATTAGGTAAAATATAAGAATTTTGATTAGCTTCATCAGATTCCGTTCTCTTATATAAAGGCTTATGATTAATGAAATTTTTATAGATTGTTGATGTATTCTGATTGAATTCATTAGTTAGCAAATTTTTGGTTTTTATTATCTGTGTTTGATCATTAGTATTGATGAAAGTTGTTTCCCGAACAATTTTCAAATCAGCTACACCATTCTTTTCGTAATTCATATAACGATAGTTTGAAGAACAATTCCAAAGTTTAGATTGTTTCATTTTTTATCACTGAATAAGAATTGACACTTTGCTTAGCTCGAAGTTTTTATCGTACTGAATTATTTCTAGGTTGTTATAAAAGAACGGATATGTTCCTGTGAAGCAGGATTGTGATAAGAAATATCAACAAGGAAGTTATGGTAATGCGATAGTAGTCAAGGATGATCAAAAACTAGAATTATAAATTTGGTGGCATGAGATTGCAGTATTAAGTATAATAAAGCATATACAGAAAAGTGAAACTATTTTACATTTTATTGATATTCATTATTAATACATGTAATCAGTAATATTGTCTACAGTCTATAACTCTTGGTATCTTGTAAAGAGATTTTCAATGTCTTACATTATTAAAAAACTTTAGACTCAGAAAGAACAAGAGCTGCCCTGTAATTGATCATGATATTACATAAAACAGAATAGTTTTAAATTGTTAATATATTAAATCTTAGGAGCAGTTAAAAAAAAAAACTCTTATAACATAAAATATTTTGTGTTATCAATGTAATTTCATTGGAGGTTTCTGTTATGTCTAGTACACATTGAATAAACTTTTCAGTATGAAGATCAAAATAGATGACCTAGTTTTACTGTTTGCTAATAAACTCTGGAGCTAAACTTTATAAAAAAATAAGGAAAAAAATAAATAATCATAAAGGTCCAAAAATACATTGCCATTATAACATGTGGAACAACAATTAATAAAGACTATAAATGTTCTTTGATAAAGATTTTTCAAACAAAGAAATACATTCTAACAAATAAAAATACAAAATTTGAAAACCAGGCATTTTCCAGAATTCTATTTAGAATCAAAACCAAAATTCATTGATAATTGCAATTCGTTAGAAAACCTGGAACAAATTGTATTATTCCATAAACTGTTAAAAATTTTACCATAGAATCTGCAAAAGTGTATTTAAAAAAAAGATAACACCAAAAGAAAAATATGGTATAAACAAATGCAGGTTTATTCCAAATGAAATTAATAGATTTCAAATCCCTAGCATGATATAAATTTCAGCAATATTTTCTTACCACTTTGATGTTAAAAAGCGAAGGTAAAATCCGCTTGACTTCAACAACTTTTTTAACAAAAACATCCAAACCGGTATCACCGGATTGCTGATAACTATTATTATACTCATTGTATCCTGAAGGATAATTTTCTCCACCATAATAATTATAGCCACTCATCCTGAATGCTCAGAAAGATCAACGAATAATGATAAGAAGTCAAATAATTAAATATTATAAAAAGAAAACTATCACTTCATAACACAAGCTGCCCAAATTTCTTAAAAGCTGCCTTCCAGCACTGTTAAATAAAGAGCAAGCTCCGTTATAAACTGACAGGATGCGGTCAGACGTTTACTGCAGCCTCATGTCGTCATTGAAAATATACAGTCGATACTACGCCCATGTTTCATCTCTCGCGAAAGAAGACTGTTCACTACCACTACGTCACACCACGTTGTGCAAAAGATAAATACTAAGGTGTGTTCAGGTCGTTTCGATTTTGCAAGATTATACATATAACGAAGATTTTAATGTTTAATCTATTTGTCAGCGCATTTGATGCATCGTTGTTTCACAGAAAGGTTACATTTAGAGATTATACGGATTTAGATACAAAGCACCGATACATATTATATCCGGCTGGTAATAGCTGATTGTAGTCGTGTTTGCGAGATGAGTAATGCAGTTTGAGAATGAAGGATATTTATAGCCACATTATATTCTGATTTCCAAAGCATAATTAAGCTTGTTAAAGGTCTTTGACATCCTTTCTGGTCATGGTCTTTTTCAAGAAAACCAATTTTTGTTACCTATGTACGTAAACCTATTTATCTATTTATTAGCACATTGGATAATGATGTAACCTGTTAATGCAGTTGGTAATGCAGATTATTTACCATCATCGTTAGAGGTTTGCTTTATCGATCGAGCATCTATTTGAATTTGAATTTTTACTTCACATTCTTTTCGATAGGTAAGTAGTGGTCCACAAGTTCAATGTGTTTTTCTGACAGCTCATAAACAATGCAATCCTTACCAAGTCACACGTGATTTTGCATAAGATGACAATAGTATATACTAGGTTATTCAGCCCAATCGGACCACTTGAATATGGCTTTACCATAGGACTCAAATGAGCGCGCTAATTTCAGGTGGTGGTATCTACTGAATAACCCTGTATACTAGAAAAGTATATATATTTCTGTAAAAAACCATGAAAATGCATACTTCATAACAGAAATCGTATGCAGAGCATGTATGGCATGCTAGAGACTTTTAAACTGAATACTCAATATTAATCAATACAAATACGGTACACGATAAGTAGTATCAAAAACTTGATATGTACATACAAGGTAATATCGATTATTTTTCTGCGAAGATAATTATTATTAATATAAATAAGCTAGTAACTTGAAACAAGTCTCTTTTAAGGTGTATATTAAGAAAAAAAAGTCAAGTGATGCAAAGTCGCCCAGAAAATGCGAAACATGTTAATCAAGATGTATGTTCTAGATGTTAATGAGGACACGAGAAAAAAATTAATGAAAAAATACGAGTGCAAGAGAAACTATCAATCATGCCAACTTCGCGATCTTCGTATTCTTCTAGTGTTTTCTTTATTTATTTCGAAATTCTTTCGTACGAATCCGACGTTTGAAATGTAAAAATTTAAAACATGGTCTTAAAAATACTGTACAGAATTCATTTGTGCTAAAATAATTTTTAATAAGTATATTACGCTAAGCAATGTACGTAATAGAATTTCATCACATTGCTATGATATTTACTAAAGAGACTTCACTGTAAATAAAAATTCTCCATCAATTACTCACTTCGACATGTTTAGCTGTCTCTTTAATTATTTCCGGCTCCTGTATTACCTCCGTGCTCCAGCCATAGTTCAAATTGTTTATCATTTTGAACAACAACACTTTTATCACTACAGCAATTTCAAAACCCAACTATAGATACACTTACGAATGCATCACCAGACTGAACCTACACAACATAATAAAGAGTTACTCAGCCACGTTTGCTCGAGAGTTGAAAATTCATAGACTCACAATCAGTAATCTGCTTCGCGTTGCCAATGAAATTCCAAGAATCACTCGTTCTTTTAGAATTCTAAGTAAACGTACAAAACGAAATAAAAACACGTGCCATTAAAAAGTGCCTCGCCGTTTTCAGGTTTGCAGAACAAATGCGAGTACAGTAATGCGAAACGTGACGTGGTATCCTGTTATTTAATATTACGTAATTAGTTTCTATATACTTTATTCAGAAACAGTTTCGTGTTTCTCTTCAGTGCATTACGGCAATATTAGTGTTACTCAGCATCTTTGCAACGAATTCGTCTATGATTATTGATCGTATTACTGTACTTGGCAGTTTGCCACGTTGTAAAGAGATCACTGAATGACATAAGTAAAATTTGTCAAAGCAAAAGAAACGAGTAAGGAACAAATTCTATTGACAAGTATTCGTTAAGCTTCTGTCGCCGTCAAACGTAAGACAGTTGTAGACTAAAATTCAATATAATCTATGAAGTGATATATTACGATTAAAGAAAACAAAGAGTGAGAAGTTAATTACACTGTATTGGCCTTGGCTATTAGTTCAACTATCCACTGCACTTCACCTTGATTGAATTCTTTTCTTTCTTTATATATGGTTGGCACTAATTAGGACCCTGGTCCGTTACAAGCGGCCACCCTTGATTGAATTGAAATGGCAGGAAGTAGTCTGATGAGTGTATAAAAGGATGTCGATATAACAAAAATACAAAAAAGTTCAACGAAACGTCGTCTCATCTGTACGAGAGTCGCACAGTTACTGCTGAAAAACCCCTTGGATATTGGTAAGAACGAATCCATACGATTATACACGAAGTATACCGAAGTAAATCTGAAGCTATGAAGAAGTCGTTATACAATTTACGTAATAATTGGAAAATACCGCCTGTCATTTGTTGAAAAAAAGAATTGTACCGCTTTTATGTAATTAGGTGAAAACGATGGCGCGCGTGTTTAATAACCTAGAACTTTTGTTTGGTGAATACACATTGTAGGAATTTATGGCATTATTCAAATACATATATTTGCCTTCTTTACATATGTCGAAAGAAATTCAATGCATATTAGTTTTGATATAATTGTTGAAGGGAAATAATTGGTTCCTGCTGCCATTTATTCTTTTTCCCCGAAGACTGCCATCTGTGAGAAATATTAAACAACAGCAGGCATTTCTGGATTGTCGGTTCGTTCTTATTTATCTACTCAGTGGTATAAATTGATTTTATGTTCCTGATGGATAAACATTTATCGACATATCAAAACATATTTGATCTAAAACAAACCAGAAAATACCATGTGTACAGCATGCATAATTTGTTTTGCTTTAGATGGAAATTCCAGGAGTTAAAAATAACTTTGAATAAAGACCGGAGGAACTTCTACAGCTTATGTGCTGTCGGTTATCTAGATTAACTCTATAAATAAATAAATGAGCCTGTGGAAGAAATTTTCATGAACAGAATGCAAGATAATTCTTGGCAGCGAATCAATATACAAAAGCCTAATATTTATATATGTTTAGCAATATAAACTGCTGTAGATCTTTCGTGATTCAGAATAATTTTTTCTCATTTCTTTTCGAAGAAGAAGAGAAATGAATAGACTGTAGCTTAAGGAAACTTCTCACAGAAGCGGGGTTTGAAATAGCTTATACTAAAAATATATTAATCGACGAACGTCTGGCATTGCCAGAAAGGAATCCATCTCGAAGGTTTGGAACAGATCCAAGAAACTTTTGAAAAAAAAACCTGTAAACCGTAACTTAACTTAAAGGATTTCAAAAATCCTTCAATCTCAGTTCACAGCAAACTTTTCAATATCTCTAAACATTTGTAAGCTAAGTGTCTTAGAAACGAAAAAGTCACCTAAATATCAGATTCCACTGTAACCGTAAATTTTTGTAATATGAAATTCAAAATGAAATTCAAAATCTTATTACTTACTTTGAAAACAGCGTTAGCTGGATGAAGAACATCACCCGAACCGGAAATCCCGCCACGTAGTACTCTGGAGAGTAGTCTGTACTTGCCTAAAGTTTCCCATACATCGTCTGGTAATTTCAAAAGTGCAGGATCGCTAATTGACGTAGTAAAAAGAAAATATTTATGAAAATTTGTAAAACAATCCAAAACGTCCATTACTTCTCAAAGCATTTATTTAACGTCAATAATTTCGATCATCATTGACTTTTTAAACGAAACTAAAATCATTTCTTTTCTTATTTTCCAAAATTCGACTTACCCCTTAAAAAATTTTGTTGTCTTAATATCCCCATTATTGGACTCTATTGCTCTCGTGTAGAAATAACTATAATTAGGCATTGTTAAATAATGAATTATTATCGATTATTAATTGTAAATATAATCTGATCGACCTATACCAGCAAAAAGCTTTCTTACAGGGGACAGTGAGTGGCAAAACATGCCGTCTATAACCGAAGAAAGCTACTAGCACATTTGAATTCGTAAAGCACAAACGGTTTGCCACTCTGCCAGCAAGAAACACCGCTGTCTTTATGTGTATTATATATTTAGACGAGATACAAGAATATAGAGTCTGCTTTTGCGCTGATACTTTCTCAACAATTGTGAAAGGCACTGTAGTGCCAGCAAGAACCACGTCTGTCATTATGCGGATCATACATTTTGATAAGATATGATTGTATCTTCAAAATTTGAACAAAGTATCACCGCAAAATCAGATTAAATTCTTTTATCTCGTCTAAATGTGTGTATAATGCAAAAAAAAAATAGGCCTGTTTCTTGCTGGCACTATAGTGCCTTTCAAATTTGTTCACCATATTCTTAGGACTATAGTATAATTTTGTCGTGAAGCTTTTTAAACAATTTTGTAGAGACTCTGCAGTGCAAACGGTCAATTTTTTCACTGTAATCCCAACAAGTTCATATCCACAGGCATATCCGTTAGAAAAGGAAATCGAATCTGCTAATAAACACAGCTGCTGATATTTCATGAATCCGTCGCCTTATTACAAGTTAATTTTTCAAAAAAAAAACCTAATTTTAGAATCACTCATAATTTACGGTTGGGAGGGCATATTACAATGTATTTTGGCTTACACGTCTTTATTTCTGTTCAACATACACAGTGTACTTTGTTACCACTACGTTTCGTAAAAGTATCTTAGACAATAGAAAATAATAAAAAATAAGAGAAACATATACATATATATTATATACTCTCTCATACGACAATATTCGATAAATTAATCGACGCGTTGTCGAGTGATGAATTTTCAACATTTTCGAAATTTCCTTTAACCTCCGATATTTTTTCACAAATATTTCTTTTCTCTTTTCTTGCTATTTCATCAATATCGTTCTTTTCTTTTTTTTTTTCCTTTGGCACGAAACGTAATTTTGGCATTCGTTTATTTCCGATTATGTGTATACATATATTCATATATATCATTCTTCTTATGCCTTTTTTTCCACAACAAAATTATACACATTATTGTACATGCTTAGGCTTGTCCCGCACCCTTCCCACCTCTAGATCTATTCTTTCGAGCACACTTCAGCTTATTGAAAATTTTCAATTTTCATCCAGTTTTTATTTCTACATTTTTTTTTCGTTCTCTTGTATTTTCTCTCTATGTATTTTCATCATAAATGTCTCTTGCCTCTGTTTAGTATGGATTCGCCCTATCACACGCACCATATATGTCCATGTTGCACACGTGCTTCTCACTTTTCTCTAATTCTCTATGAAATTACGAGTAGTCGGCGTTTAGTTTGATTTTCTTAGTATAGCTGAAAAACGAAAAATTTATACAACCGCCAAAAATAAGGAATGTAAAATGCGTGCGTGCGTAGTCATACAGCTCCTTTTTTCTTTACTCCTTGTAAGTTTTTTTTTAAAAACTTATTAAGTATATTCTCTTATTGGCAACGTATTTTTGAACGTCTCACTTTAAATTTCGCATAATCGCCCGCTTGCAGTTCATTTGTTACAAATATTTAATTTAGGTATAATAATAAACTAACATAACTAACTGCATGAGTTGGACGATACGTGTTTTCCCTCTGCCTTGTTGCATAGAGAAAATTAAAATGAATACAACAAAAATATTAAGATAAATATCGCGTTATATTAGGTTAGGTTATATCAGGTTAAACTAGATCAGGTGAAAAGCGTCGCAAACGTGACGCGCGTGTGCGTGTGTTTGTGCATATGTTTGGTATGACTCGAAATTTACGTTAAAATTATAACCGATGAGTGTTTAGACAATTAAAAGATTTACGTGCTGAATAAATTATGTTAATGACATAATCGCTGCGATAACGTACAATAATTAAAGTCGAGAGGCGCCACAGGTGCGAGTAATTTGAACGATCCTTATCACCAATAGGTTATATGTATGCTAATATCAATGAGCATTATTTGTATAAAATTAATATATAATACTGAGTTTCATAACTTTTCTAATAACTGTCAGTTTGGACAATCAACAAATAATTGTAACGATTAATGGCCGGTTTCTTCACCTCCGAATAATTTCTAACTCAGTCTCTGAATTCTTCAACTTCAATCGTCCTCAATACTACGAAATATTTTCTAGATAAAGTTATCGGGAACTTGTCCGAAGGTAAAGAAACCTGCTATAAAGTGCAAATTGATAAACGTCTCTCCTTTTACTACATATAATCTTTACGTACCCCTTATTGGGTTAATCAGAAAATTATGATAACATTGATATCTCAGTTACATATTCTCTTTTAATTATTAAATATGTATGTCACGGATGTGCCAGATGTCTTCTTCTTTCTTATCTTTCTTCACTTTTTTGTAATATTACGTACACACACACGCTTATACAATTATTCGTTAAAGAAAGTACGATCGAGCGAAAGTGGGATCTATCGTAGGAAGCATTTCGATTGGTAGCCATATATACAACGGAAAACGGAGTCTGATTGGTTGAATCTAGCGGAATATTCTTAAGCTAATTCGATTGGTTGGCATAGTGAGGATGGTCCAGTGTTAAGGCGACGTGTGTTTGCAGTAAATTATATTATGCGAAGGAGACGCAGGAAATTTTCTTGGGACTAAAAGAAACACTTGCAGTTTCGTTTGTTAGTTTTAACTGTGACTCTCAAACACGTGGAGAATGTTTGTGAACGTGTAATCAAATCGTAAAGAACAATACAATAGACAGTCTGATCATTTTTCATAGAAATATAGTTCTTTCTATTCGAGGGCAAATTGCAACCTAACCACCATAGAATCAGTTACTTTACATTTGCAAGATTTGGCAAGGTGAAGAGTATTCAAGTTTTATTATAATATCTATTACTTAATATTTGTATCTTAAGTTCTGTTAAATTTTTTTCCTTTGACATGGCTTTGGGATAGCGATCCAACTACCTTAACCCGGAAGTAGGTGCGTTGAGCCTCTGAGACACTTTAACTCAATGCTTTTTAAAATGCTTTTTAAATTAAGAACAAAATTGCACGACCATTCTCGAAAACATGAAACCTACCTCTTGAAATATACATATCTTATATCTAGCCATACACCGGCACAGCCGTAACTGACTTCTCCTTCGGAATGCATCGATATTTATATGTATATTATCTTTTCGTAATTCAAAGTGCCTTGACAGCTTTGACGGACTAATCGGATACGGCGTATAATTTGGAATAATCGGATTCCTGATTGATTAAAATTTTTTGAATAGAAAGTTTCAGCCACTCAGAAGTCTGGTTATCCCAAGTTATCCATCTTGTCAGACTAGTCTGTAAAAGTCGTTGAAGACACCTTTAATCGTAATTAGATTATACAAATTAATTTCATCTAGACTAACATTTCATTTTACATCGCTCACTCTTTCTCTCTCTCACACACACATATTCTTATGGATACTCTTTAATTTATGGTATATTGAATATAACAAAGGTACAGTTTTAAGGGCGATGCTCATTACAGCTAAATGAAGCAACTACGCCATTTTTTTTTTATATTCTGAGAGAATACAATGAGCATTATGTTCCGCTTTAATTTGCTGTAATGTCAATCGATTTTCACATTTTCGTTTTATTTTTTGCTTTCTTTTCTTCGGTTTAATGTGAATTATAGAAACCCTGCAATTGTGTCGCCCTGTGGCACGTATCGCCATTTTCTTCTTTATTTTGTTAAGAAAACATTCTTTCTATTTTCGGTTTTAGTGAAAAAAAAATGTACGCGGCTCTCGAACTACAAAATAATTCCTGTATCCATGATACGAAATGTTTGGTAGAAACTGTTTGCGAAATGTCTTTTCTAATCGCTCTAAAGTTGATCATATTTACTTCGGTAATTGTGAAAATTCTTAGAAATACATAGAAGTTTTGTTGTTTATCAATTACGGGCGCGATGCAAAATTTAGAATCATACATTTCGCATGTTTGTGTCAAAAGTAAAAAGAAAAACTTGTACCGATTATTACGTAACTCTGCGCAAACAAGATTGCTACATAGTCGACTTAATTGAAAGTTTTAAAAAACTCATTAAAAAGTGCCTAATTGCACGATACTTTTTTTTTTCCACTTTTTTCATCATTTTGTACAGGCAATAAAAAAAACTATTTCTTCTATAGTTAAGAGATTTATCATATGAGCCATATGTGTATATAATATAACTGGAAGCCAATTAACTGAGCAGATCGTCGCGCGTTTATAATAAAAATAAAATTATCATTATCATCATTATTTTCTCTTTCTCATTGTCATCCTTCTTATCTTAGCTTTCAAAAATATACGTTATCACACCCTTGCCTTACTTTCGAAATTTTCAATTGAAACAAAGATGAAAAAAACGCGCGATAAAAATGATAAGTCGAAGTACCTCCTCCCCCCAACCCCGACCCCAGTATTACGTGTATCATCAAATGGCGGTCATTTCCTTTAAACACATTACTTATTCATATTGTGTTACGAAATTTTTATAGAATTTAATTTTCTTTCTTTTCCTTTATCAAACCTTGTTATGAGTCTTCTGTTTTCATTACCTGCAAGCAATCTGACAGATGTCGCCCTCGACGATCTTCTAGATTTGTGTGTCAAATGAGCGTCTCTTCAGAGGATTGCTGAGAACGATTAGCGTCATCATCAAGTTCCTGTCCCATGATTGGCATGGTCGATGATCTTCTAGGTGGTCTGACGGCTTCGAAGCCTGACGAAGACTGTCAGCCGCCTTTTAATGAACCTCAGCAAGAGCATTCTTCTTCCCTTGGTAATTCGTGTCCTAAAGAACCCTAAATAATATAATAACAATATACAAATTTCCTTAATTATATAATATTAGCTCAGACAAATTTTCTTTTCTTAATTTATTTAAGAATGAAACGTACCTTTCTAAGCTCCATACTGCCAGGATTACTTAAACGCGGTGGTGGCGGTGAGAATGCAATTTTTTCATAGGGTATTGTCCCACGACAAAGGGCACTAGGGTCTAGACTCAGGGCCGCTTTCAATGCACTTTTACGAAGGATGCCATTAATGTTTACATTGGCATTTAATACCGTGTGACTTGGAGAAGATGTCCTTGTATTAGGTAAAGAGACCAACGTGTCCGGCGGTGAGTTGGTATCTGTAGTAGTAGTACTTTCACCGTTGCCATTTTGTTTACCCTTCTCGTTATTAGTAACATTCCCATAATTGTTCTCGGTATCATTTGCCACCCCTATACTGGACGCGTTATTCGTATTTTGTTCCAGATGCTTGACTTCTGGCTGGTACTTCTCCTGAACAGTAAGTAGGAGATCAATTTTGATTTATGTCTTGAATAATTCTGTTCTACCGAATTTTCGTATATTTTTCATACCTCGTTACTGTAATCTCCGTTTGGGTCTTCTAGGGCATCTGGGGAGTTTAGACAATCATTCCCCTCGTTCTTTGGCTCCGTTAGTGTAGTTTCTTGGATATTCTCGTTCTCGCAATCATCGCAGTGGCGCAACGCTGCGTATACGATACCTGGCGCAGGTCCTATCCGATATGCGACTGCACGAAAATTTGATCTGGGTTGCATATAACCACATCCATCCAACTGTGCAGAAATCATATAAAACCTAAGATCCTCTGAACTTACCCTAGAGCACTGGACAGTTTCCCTAGACCTGGCGAACATCAAAATAAGTTCACATGATGGCAGGAAGTCGCGTGATTTTAGGCTGTTGTTGGTTCGTTTTTTAAGTTTGTTTTTAGTTTCTCAAGCTTACTTTTTCTCTTTGGTATTAAAATGGTATTTTGAGGTTCGCTCGGGTCAGGTGCAAGTTAGAGAGTTAGGAATACGGGCATGCGGGTGATCATTTGGTACTCCGAATAAAATTTAAGGGATCATTTAAAGGTAATATCCGATAAAATAAGAGTTAGTCGTTTTCAAGATATGGATTGTTACTTGAAAGAGGGAACATGCATTTTTCTTTGGATTAGTACAAAAAATAACACTCACGTTACTGCGTACATTGATACATTCTGTTTCTGGGTCTGGTCTCATGATCGTTACCTCTCTCTCGTAAACTGGTAAAATGTCGTAATTAGGCATTGGATAATTTATGACATCTGGATCCTATGAACAAAGAGATACCAATAAGTATAACGTCTTAATTAATTTAATTGAAGTAACTACGTAGAACACTAACTTGAAGGCAGTAACCTATACGCTCAACGATTGTCGTAAAACTCGGCCTGTCTTCAGGATGAGGATGCCAGCATCTTGTCATAACACCATAAATAGGATCAGGACATCCAGCAGGCCTTTCGAGTCTGCCACCATTGGTAACCATGGACATGACCTCTCGATTGGCACAACCAGTGTAAGGCATATAGCCAAAGGACATGATTTCCCATAAGAGTACGCCAAATGCCCTAAATTTTATGATGAATCTCATAAATCTTCGTTAGATGCCAAAACAAAATATTCTTATTAACAACGATGGTTATATTACCAGACATCTGTTTTTGTCGTAAATATTCCATCCAGGAAGCTTTCAGGTGGCATCCACTTAATTGGCAACATGGCCTTTCCACCCTTACGATAATAATCGCTTCTATAGATGTCTCGGGCCATGCCGAAGTCCGCTATCTTGACGACTCGACCTGGACCTTTACAAGTCAGCAGACAATTCCGAGCTGCGATATCACGGTGAATGAATCTGGCGTCCTCCATATATTTGCATCCGTTCGCCACATCGAATGCACACATCACCAAGTCTTGCATGGTCAGTTTCGTAGATCGATCCTAAATGAAGAACTTCTTGTTTAGCATGAAGATCATAAGATCATTTTAACATACCGGTCGTGGACGCTCTTCCCGAAGAAAATTCTTAAGATCTCCACCAGCTAGCAACTCCAGTACAATGTACCTGGGATGTTTATCAAATGATACTCCAATGAAGTGAACTATATTTCCATGATTAAACTTGCTCATTATTAAAGCTTCCATCATGAAATCTGCTTCAGCTTGGGACGTGGATAAGGACGGAAGAGTCTTTACAGCTACAGGATGCTCTTCGTTGCATCTGTACTTGTAGACACCTTGAAAGACCTCACCAAAGGCTCCCTGTCCAAGTGGTCTGATGACCAAGGTAAAGAGTGGTCAATCATCTGTCAACTGTTGTTATAGTTTGATACTCACTTCACCAAAGATATGTTATCTCTTGGTATTTGGGGAAGATCCTTAAAAGTATACAAGTTTCCAGCGAATTCATAGTTCGGATTGAATTCTGTCATCATGTTGTCAGAGACGGCTCGTAGCGCTGTTAATTCCGTGCCGTTGCCAAACATGACCTGTCTTCTCCGCGAAAGTGCTTTGCGATTCTGATAACGATTATCTATTGATAACAGTATAACATTAGTATATGTCCATATACTCGAGAAAATAAGAAGCAAAGGTACGTGCTATTCACTCACATAATAAAGCGCACAGTCCAGAGAAGGCAAAAAGTAAAACAAGACTAACTGCGACTAGGATCATCATGAATGTCCGATGACTCACGGTAGGTTTGTCAGTCACTATAAGAAAAAATAAGTAATCATTTTTAGCCTTAACTGTAAGTAAAGTTATTTTTCGGGGCATTGAACTCACTCAAACAAGAATGAGAGTTATTTCCAAGTAGCCAGCCAGGTGGACATAGGCACTTGGTCTGACTCAAGTGTTGATCGGTCACTACACATCGGAAGTCACAGCCACATCCACTTATCGCAGCTATGATAAAGACTTCGCCAGGACCTTGGTTGACGCCAGGTTTAAAGCTGATGTGTAATAGTTCAGACGAGGCGTAGGAGTATCCGCCTTCTCCATTGCCAGACTCTGTGTGACCTGTACTTCCTCCTATGTAACCACCTCCACCACCTCCCGTTAGGCAACCTCCCCCACCTCCACCGAACCCTCCATCCCCGTGACCTTCAATTTTATTTCCACAACCCACTCCACCTATTCCGCCGTAAATCAACGGCATTCCCATAGATGGTTGACCTGTCATGTTGTTAGATGAACCATTCCAGCCACCTCCCGCTCCCGCATTTCCTTTTACTGTGTAACCGGAAGTTGGATTTCTACCTGGCGGTGGTGGTCCCTGACCATGCTGAGTTCCATCATTTACAAAATGACCTAGGCCTAGACCACCACCTCCTGCTGCTATTAGCAGCGGTTGCTGCTCACCATTTGCTTTCAGCTGCAACATTTGTTTTGGTAATTATAGATTTTATCCAACTGTTATTAGTAATAACTTATTAGTATTTCTTTAGTTTCCCTTGTATCTCTTTCTTATACCGTGAATATATAAGTGGCTCCGCCCCCACCTCCACCGCCGTCTTTCAATTTGATATTCTTAACTTCCCGAACGATCGACGATGTTCCTGATGATGACGAAACCTTCGTCTGGGTAGAGGACTGGCAGTAGTGCGTTTTCAATCCAAGATTCTATGAAAATTCCTCAAGTTAATAATTATACCAAAATCCACGAAAGTTCTAAGCAGGTTCTACAATGAAAGAATATTTTTAATCTTATATTTTACCTTAGGACAAGCATCGGAACCTGGTTGTCCAACCATGAAATAAATCTGCTGTCCCTTTTCAAGTTCAATTATACCCTGTACCAAAGCTCCCAGCGTGCTACCCATACCTCCTGAACCTCGACCACCACGTGCGCCCATTGCGATCACTCTGCATCATAAATTATTATTAGCACAAAAGATCAAAAAGATTCTTTCAGTTCTTAACTCACGTGTAGTATCCACCACGTGGTGCAGTCCAACGTTGAATACCCTTGAAATTAAATGGCGTAGCTTCGTCAGATGCGGAGACAGATGATAATGGCGGGATCAAGAGTTCAATTTCAGTACTATTGTACTCTTCATTGCATTCCTCCAAAGTAGGACCAGTTCTACCTAGAGCTCCACACGTAGTTATCCTGACAACTGTAAGAATAACAATGTAATTCGGCGCACACTGATTTTTCTATGAGATCAACCACATGACCCATGTAGTTACATCTTATGCATTCCTAATTGTAAAAATAATGTATTTCCTGATGCTTGAATTAAAGTCTTTGAAGTTTGTAAATATTGCTGCTCTTTTTCTTGTAAATTTCAACTCAACTGGTTAAGGTAGTTAAACCAGCATTTTGTTTACACATAGGATACTATATTTTCAGATGTTTCCACATGCAATGACTTGAACCCGGGAATGCTGAACATTTACAAGTACTACTGTATCATTCGCATCCAGAACTTAATTTCTTGTGTAAACTTCAAGTCGATTCGTTCAGTGGTACGTCTATAATTTTGGATATGGTCTTTCAACATATATTTTTTTATAATATAGCGCATGCGCCGCTTTGAAACCGGAAGTTAGTTACATCTGCAAATTTCACTGTACTATCTACATCTAGAGGTTAATTTCTCGGGTAAATTCAAGTTGATCGACTGAGCGGGTTGTCTGAAATTTTTTATACACCCACGCACAAACACACGCGGGCCCACGTCCTTTTTGTTGTCATGGCAAAAATGCGTAAGACATAAAAATAAATCGAAAGGAATTTACAGACAGTATTCTCTGGACGATTTACCTGTTTCATTGGCAAAATCAACATGTTGTTCTGGTTTGCTTTCCAACTCTATTATAGGATTATAATAATTGAAGTCTCCAACAATATCTGCTGGCACTCCTATTGAAAGAACAATTTTAATGCATCGGACATTCAAACATTGTCATTAAAAAAGAAAAATCGTACCTATTCCAAAGCATTCGGGACTCAATGAAAAATCATCAATGGCAATATCACTTTTCGACGCGTAACCTTTGCTGGCTTCAAATTGTAGAAAATATCTGAAAAAATAATAGAATATAAAAACTCTTGATTGCTGTAAGTGTCAGATGTAAGTGGTGAAAATATAGTCTTTTTTGATTCTACCTGTATCTTGTATCTGGTAAAATAACTGCCTGATTATACCAAACATCACTTCGATCACCATAATTCCACCACAACCTCTCTGATTGATTTTGATGTGGTTTTATTTGTACTAGGTATAAACCAAGAGAACCCTGATGAACTCCGTATTGATGGTAGAAAAAGCGAACCTAAATAAAAAATAATTATTAAAAAAATCATTAGAGTCATATAAATTATTCAGAAGATTCTGTACCTGACATGACTGGTAATATGGACTAGTACGATCACTATTATATGGTGGCGTTGGATTAAAAACGGGACTTTCTATAGTAGCACGACTCCCATATTCAGCTCTTCGGGACATGTCCACAAATGCATACGTTCCTAAATTCAAACAAAGGTATTCATAATTAATTATTCTAATGTAATTATTTATATTACAAAGGAAATACTGGGTAAAGAAGGATGCCCCTGAATATTCTGTATCTGAATCAAAATACATCAAACCCATTGAGAACTTCTACACTGATTCCATCATTTCCTGTAATCCACTAGTTGTCAGATGTAAATTCGCACGAAGCTAATTCTCTTTACTAAAGTGAGTACTGGGTGTTTATATCGATAAAAGAAGATTAAGTCTTAATATAAGAAAATTGAGTACTGAAACAACCTGTTGTATTTCGATAAGTATGATCGTAACTAGGTCCAGTCCTTTCAGTTGGTGTTGGACCTTGATGAAGTGTCCAGTTCAAAGGCCTTCCTGGAACATTTGTCCAACCACACCAACCATCCTCGAAATTGCATCTCGAATATTCTGGCATTTTATCTAAAAGAAAACCAATAGGACTAATCATTGATAAGCTTTTTATTGTGTTGCAAAAAAAATGTCTTATCATTATTTTACCCACCGCATTCGACTAGTTCATCTTCACCATCTGCGCAATCAGGCGTCAAGTCGCAAATTCGAGTTCTATTCAAACAGGAACCGTTGTTGCACAAAAACATATCATCCGTACACACTCTACCGACTGGTGGTGATTCTACAACAGATGAGATAAAAATTAAATTAGTAAAATAGATTACTAAAAAACTGAAATTAATAATAAATGTACCTGGAAAACAATCGACTAATCGTATGTTGTCTACAGCGATGCTTGAGTTCGCATATGGCACCACCATTTCCAAGGAAACGTTATAAGGTTGATTCATAGCTCCCAAATTGAATCTTGTTATCTCCCATCTAATTCAAAAATCTCTTAAGTAATATTTCACCAATCACACTAAGAGCTTTGTTAAACATACTAAGGAGCTCGAATGGTAATACAGTTTTCATTCACAAAAATGGTAAATAACATAAATTTGAAAATGATGAAAAAACATAATTCCTATATTGCATAAGCAGTATAAACACACAGAATTATCAATAGAAGAATAAAGCTACAAACTGGGCATGATTGTTGCCAGAACGTTCGGTAGCGACCAAGCTGGTGAAATTATTAGTCTGGATGATGAGACGAATGTCGCCATTCCTCATCTCCACCTGATGAAGTGCAACTTCTAGAAGGCATCTGGTACCAGTACGGGGAATTTGTCTTGAAGAGATCTGACCATCCCTTCCGTACAGCCAGAGAAAATGTCCATTTGGCGATTTGCTAGCATCGGTTGTAGGTCCGAATTTACTAGGTACCGGTGCAGATGTTCTAACGAAGCCACTGGTGCGGTTCCAGGACCAATCACAGATTTCCTCAAAGTCGCAGTGACCAAGAAATGGTGGCGGTGGTCGAGCAGCCACATTTAGAGCAGCCTGTAGCTCTTTAATTCCTCTAGGTACGCGAGTACCGTTTTCGCATTGTATACCAGCTAACAGTGTCAGGAACAATACGATTCTAAAAAGCTTCCGGGCGCAGGTGCTGATCATCCACGTTGGCCGATGTACCGCGCAACGGAAAGTCGTGATTGTCGACAATTTCACTTTGTTCATTACTTCGACAATTATAGCATACTCAGAACATTGTAATCAGTATCTCCAAGGTACACGTAATTGGTCATCGATGAATTCGAATCTTGGGCAAATTTTGAAACCCTCGACATCGGTACTTCGGGTTTGCATTGATCGTTTTAAACTGTTGGAACTGGAATGAGAAAATAAGGTATTTGAATTTTTCCGCTTTAAACATGTATTCTCGACTTTGGATGCTTGCGACATCTCTCAATAATATTCGGAAATTCCGTATCACTTTAGCCCCGCCTTTCTGAGTCGATTTAACCACTACCCCATGATTTCACCCAATGGTTAAAAACATGAATGTCATACTACCAAAACTGAAATGAAATTCCGTGAATGGTTATTCTCCTCAAATGCACATGCATCAAAAACGAAAAACTCTGCTATTCCCGTGCACATCTCAACATATGTTTAATGCAACTTGAATTGTATGGCACTTTCGATACACCTTCATTTCAGAAGAATAATCATTCGTGAAGGTTCATTTCAGTAGTGTATGTACATACATACATTCGGGTTTTTAAACATTAGGTGAAATTACGGGTACCTGATCTAACGATGTGCTGCAATCAGATAGTTACTCGGAACATCCGTTAAATGGAAGCACTGGCCAATGGACAAATATATGTATATTAGAAACTGAGAATCCTCGGAATGTAGTAATTTACGAAATGTTGAAAAAAAAGGGAATAATGTCACGTGATACACTGTGCTAAGAAGTGACTTTTTGAATAATAATACTAAAGGTTCCATGTAGTATCTAGAATATAGAGAAGTGAATAGTACAAATTTTAATTAAGTACCTTTATAATAAAAAATGAAACATCATATTTCGTAAAAAAAGTTTGAAAGTTAATATGTATTTTAATACATTTACGTAATTCAAAGCGTATTTTTCCATATTCTTTCCTTTTTAACACTTTTTTAATGTTGCTTTTTGGTAATTTAATATTTTGACAAATTTAAACGTGATCACGGGACATAAACCCTGTTTGAAAGTTTCATAAACTATCACTAGAGGCCAGGGCGGTTTCTTCAGTACTAGAGTCCCTCTAGTTAGAGTCAGGCCAATACGTGGAAGGGACGCCATGTTCAGGGCTCGTTTGGAGCCGTCATGACATTGCGCGCGGATTTTCAAACTATCAATCTTTACCATCAAGAGACTCGGTCGAGTCTCGCGCCAAGGACAGGCAACCCGCCGTACAAGGCTTAACACTACACCACACTACATAATGCGAATGCCTTCCATATATGTATTCACAATCACACGTCCTATTCCGGAAAGAACCCTGAAAATGGCGGAGCCAATCAGTAAGAGGCCCACCGTTGGCCTGACTCTAAATAGAGGAACTCTATTCAGTACCTATCCCAAAAAGGGATGTGGATGATCAAAATAACAGCAAAATGGCGGCTGAAGAATTAAGAGAGAGGCAAGTCGGCTAAATAAACCGTCTGAACTATTTCTTCAATATTTTTTCATTTCCGGCGGTTCAGTAGAGTTGCGACGTAAATAGACAGCCGGGAATTGCGAAATCTCATTCGGTTTAGATGTCCCCACACATAAAAATCTATAAAATGTACAGCCCCGGTGTAGTTCAGGATTAAGGTCATTCGGTGATAATAATCATAATAGTAATAGGAAATTATAATTTAAACAAAGTCAAAAATTCCAAGCTAAAAAAATTAATTATAATACAGGAATAATGTCACGTGGTACGCTGCGTTGCGATACAGATTCTCCCAATAACATTCGATCCAAATATTATTACATTCTACGGTACCATTTTTAAATTATTAATTTTTATAAGTTGAGTATACGTATACAGTGAGAGATAACCTTTCTATTATTTTGTATCTCAGGAACTATACGATAAATCATTTTCAAATTTTCCATAATCGAAAATTTAGTTGTCTAAAATGTTTTTAAAAATCTGGACTTTATCTTAGATTGGGTTTCATTACCGGAACCCTTGACACCAGTCTAGAGAAAACATGGTTATTTGGTGAAATATTTTCCATTTCCATGAAACATAGATTATTAAACCACGTGTTCTCATCACCAAGAATAGAGACTTTACTCTCAAAATATATACATTAAAAAAAATTTAATAATACCTCAAATTAAAATATCGCCATACAACTAAATCATAAGTCTATTTGAAAGACTACTACGTAGAATACCCACGATCATTGATTATGCCGCGAATAACTTTTACGCGACACTAATATTTAATGTTAAAACGAAAATAAAAATGGCTGTAAAAAGACTATGGAATCTCATAGAAATTGTCATTAAAAAAATAATTATATACTGTAAATATTATGGCCCAGTATTATAACGGTCTCAAGATGTATCTCAACATATAACAAATTTTATAATTTACAATATTAGTTAATGAACTACAGTCATACGAAAGTATAGAATCATTACAAAGAATATTTCAAATTTGATAGATACAAGATAAGGTGGATGGCCCAGTCATCGGCCATGTACCAGTAATCGTCAGTTGTGTTATAATACTGTAGATTTTGCTGTAATCAAAGCACACACAGATGATTACTGGCGTATGACCGATAATTGGGCCATCCACCCTATTCGAATTATGTTTGAGAAAATATTTATATACTCTAAATTCTAATTATCGGCCGCCTACCAATGTGTCCTATGTATAACAGAAACCACGCATAGATAGTGAACAAAAAAAGTCTCTTGATAAAAAAGGAACCTATTTATCACGCCTGTCTGTATTTACTGTTTTTCAGTGTCGTCCAACAGATGGAAATAAATTTGTCTACGCGGACACTAATTTTGAAAGCGCATATCGATGACGCATGCATCTTATTTTTGTCTTATACTGATTTACTACAAACTATTTTGTGCACATCCTGTCATTCGTTTAGGAACAGTTCCCAAGAATCTAACTATAACTTCCGGCCCTCGCGCAAAATTCCACTCGACGATGGACCACTTATCCAATCGAGAAAATCCCGTCAATTCGCGAACACACGACGTAGCATTACACGTCTCTTGGAGTTCGAAAATGGTTGAGATATTTAAGATGTAAGTGTTTATCATCTGACCTCATGCGACCTTAACCTCCACAGCATGGACTTCATCTTCTGATTAGGACGCGTAGCATCCGGATATCTATAGGAACAACGGGTCGATCGGCCATTTTCGTCACGACAGATAGAAGAAGCTTGGCAATTATTTGAAAAATTGTAATGCACTTTTTCTCTTCAAAAATATACTCTCGAAATCTTGTTACAAAGGTTTAAAGCATCATTAGGCTTCCTGCGACTTTTCAATAATTCAAAAGAACGCAGTCTTTTTATTGTTTGTTTGATCTGTTCAGATGTTGAGAATCTTTTTCCTTTCACCTGATCTATATTTTGCACTATTATATATATTTTCAAACATTCCACTGGCGTCAACACTGTTTTATAGTCTGGTTAACGTTATACAGTTTAGTATTCGTACCACTACTTTCATAGACTCCAGACACTGAGCATCCTCTCTCACTGATCGATGAACATCCCGTCTAGAATCTCAAACGATGCTGCTGCTGTTGCTGCTGCTCCGCCAGTTATCCCAGGACACGGTACGCGACTGAACTCAGCGCACTCAGCCGCTACGACTAGCTTACGCTATTTGGAGAGCTTCCAAAAAAAACTCGTGCGCAGGGATTGGTCAACTGGTGAGGACTCCGCCCCTGTTATACGACGACCCTTGCAAGTGATTCTGCGCTTTTCGCAAAGAGTTCTGTTCCTCATCAGCAGTGGTAGCCTCAGTGCTTGTCTTGGGAACTTGCAAAGCTTTTAACAGAAAACGCAGAAAAGTTCTCTGTCGAAAACAAAAACAGTGAATAAGTTATAAAAGCGATACCTAGGGGTAGTAAAACAAGATTATAAAAAAAGAAAGAATTAAAGTTCCGACGGAACTAACGAGATTTTACCCTGTTCTTTGTTTTTTCTTATTTAAAGGAACTGAAATCCGCAAAGATATTTTTTACCAGTAAGCATCCTCAACGCAACGTCGGATGGGTCCATTTAAGATTTGTCCTTGAGACTCACTCTGAAACCAAGGATCGATATTGCTCCTGGTTTGGGGTAGCAAGGTAATAGGACATTCGTAACAAGAAAGCTCGCAAGAATTAAGCTTCTAGACGTTGTCATGTGCTGCCATCTGTTAGAACCAAATCCTACTTCTTATAAAGACGTCTTACGGTTAGTTGATTCGGTATTGTCAATTCTTGTGGGAGTGCATTGTGACACTCCTTGTAACCAATGTGACATTAGTTTATGTTGGTCCCAGCGTCTAACGCATTGAAACGTCCTACGGTGCTCCTTGTTGCAAAGCACGAGTATAAGCGAGACGGCAATAGATCCCTGAGTCGCACCTATCACAATGCGTTAGACGCTGGGACACTTGTTCCTAGCCACCACGTCGCATATATCTCTCTTTGTCTTACTAACGCTGTTTGACGAGGATGGATAATCGAAAAGTCTATCTCATTCCCACTACCGAAAGTCGCATAGCTCCTTCTCGTTTCTTATCGGGGTAGTAGCTGTTCTCCTCGTCATATAACGTTAGTCTAAGAGAGAGAGAGAGAGAGAGAGAGAGAGAGAGAGAGAGAGAGAGAGAGTGCAAGAGCGTGCGCCCGGACACGAGCAGTCCTCATCAAGCTCCCTATTGCGCATGAGGGGCCTTGTTGGCGTTCTTGCTTACACCTGTGCTGTGCAGCAAGGACGCACCGAGCGATACTCTGGCGTCTCGCTCGCACCGTAGTGCTTTCTGCGTTACACGCACGGGCCAAGATACGCGAGCAGGCACCGCCCAATCTCCTCTTTTACCTCAGCGCACGGCGACTACCGTTGACACCATTAATGCGGTTGACTGTACGCGTAACTTACGCAGCCAATCGCGAAACAGCAATTCCGTTCTATTATCTATCGGACAACTAATAACGATCCGTGATTTGCTGGCGTAAGGAAAGAAAGAAAGGAAGATAGCTTCAGCACCATTCGTGGCACATTTTCGAACTGTTACTGGACACGATATAAGATCCGATTTCTCAACATTCGTCCATTACAGTTTTCTCCATTACAGTCCATGCGTTTTCTCTTTATTTTGACTATCTCTCTTAGCTATCTAAATCTTCAATTAACTGTTTTAATTAAATAAAGAAGATACTCTAACTAAATAAATAAAGATATAAACTTAAATTACTCTTGTGTCTATTGGAAAACATGTCCGAATCGTCGACGAGCAAAAGCGAGGAAGCGGGAGTCACCAGTGTTCCCGGTGTTGAAATATCGGTTTCTTTGTCGGTAGGTTCAGTAATCGGAGTTCCTAATTCGAGGAATGGTACAGGCACCATCTTGTATACAGATTTCCCTACCCTCACCATGTTCTAGCTTATAACCGCTAATGTGGCCGGTTTTGCCCACAAGCGCCATCGACGTATAGAATGGACTACGCATAAAAATAAACTACGCCTGAAAATAAATCTTAACTGATATTATATTTTATCATTACAATAATAATTAATTATTTCAGTAACCTAACTATTCAAATATTTCAATAGCCTTATTGCTATGCGAACTGTCAGTTTGCGCTTATGGGAATCGGTCACAGTCACATGTTATTGTTTGAAGAGGCCACACTGCCGTGTCGGCCACTTGCGGCCAACTTCTGCTGGTGCGTTTCTACTGACTAACCCTGTATATATAGAGGATTGAACACCGTTGGAGTGCTCATCAGAGCTTTGGTGGCTAACGAACCCACCTCGCCAGATTCACGCATTCGAATCTGCCGCGAAAACGACAGTGGCGACGATCAGGACGTCACAAAGCAAACCGAATATGTGTCTCCTATACTGATGTATATACATACACACTCGGGTCAAATTTCCTTAGGTTAATGTATAATGTTTATGATTTGACTTGTAAGTTAGGCTTAATTTAGCATACAGCATAAGAAAACGTACAGTCGGAATTAATTTCTGTTATCGTAGAAACGTGATTTCTAGTTATATCTTCATTTATTTGAGCAAACGATGGTTTCCTCGCTGTGCTACCTAATTTTACCAGTAGTAATGATAATAGGTTTATTAAGAAAGTGTAGGGAATATTCTTGGGGAAGGTGCAAGAGTAAAATTTCTCTCCATGACCGGGTATTCATCGTGACAGGTGCAAATTCTGGTATTGGTAAAGAAACCGTAAAAGAATTGGCGAAACGTAAAGCCAGAATTATTATGGCATGCCGAGATTTACAGAATGCCAAAAATGCCATTTCTGAAATACGAAATGAAACTTCTTCTGGAGAACTGGTAAGTTAAAGTATAAGATGTACGTTTTATGATATTGATTTTGCTTAACATCCCTTATGTAGATTCCTATGGAGTTGGATCTTGCATCGTTAACTTCTATTAGACATTTCGCTGCAGAAGTTTTAATAAACTTTCCAAAGATTCATGTACTTATAAACAATGCAGGAGTGTATGCACCACTTAAAGATCGTGCACTTACTAAGGATGGTTTTGAGATTCACTTTGGTGTTAATCATCTTGGTCATTTCTTACTGACCAATCTTCTTCTAGATAGACTGAAAGAGTGTGCACCAAGCAGGTTAGTTTTATATTTGATTGTACTGTCAATGGATGTTGCTAATTAATTTTTAATGCTATAGAATTGTGATAGTAACTTCAAAACTTTTGGAGTCTGGTACCATAGACTTTTCTAACCTTAATGGAGAAAAGGGTCTAACTACCAAGGGCCGTATGAATCCTGGTTACTGCAACTCGAAACTTGCAAATGCATATTTTGGTGCTGAACTTGCCAAAACAACTGAGAATAGTGGTGTTTGTGTTTACATGGTCTGCCCTGGATTTACATACACTGGTCTCTTCAGAAATGTAAAACGGAGCTGGTTTCACTATATTTTGTTCTCACCAGTTGCATTATTATTTTTGCGTACAGCAAATCAGGTTGGAGTCTTCTTGCGATGAAGCTAAAAATTTATTCAATATGTATTTTCATATGTTTAACTGCTCAATGTATATTTCAGGGAGCACAGACAGTATTGCACTGTGCCACAGAAAGTTCACTTGAGGGAGAAAGTGGACATATTTATCGTGATTGTAAGGTATATGTTTCTAAAATGAAATTAGAACCTGATATAGCTTCTAGATTGTGGGAGGTTAGTGAAAGATTAACAGGACTTGATCAAAAGCACAAGTAGACTGTTAATCTCACCATACGAAATCTGTGGATTATCAGCTAGTTTTAGTAGCATGATCAATGTATTTTGATTTTGTTTTCTGATCTCAAAGGCGCATTACAATTGGTTCAAAAATATTGTACAGATTGAATGGCTTTGTTTTGTACTCTAGTAAAGTTATGATTGTAAAAAAGTTATAGAGCTTCATATAATTTTCATTTACTAAATGATAACTAATTGTAATTTCTATTTAATTAATAATTAAAGTTCTTAAGTGTTTCTCATTTAAATTTTAATTATTCAAATTGAAGATAATTATAGTGAAATGAAATATTATTGTGTTCTACAATAAAGTTTATGGAAAATTCTTATTTTTTCGTATACGCTTATATACAATGGAAAAGATTCGCCGAACATATTTATTTCAAATATTAATTTGTTGAATATACCGGGAACAAAAACGAATACTTTTTGTTAAAAGAATTTTTTAGACTAGATTTAGTACCAATTCAATATTCGCTTTTATGTTGATGCTCTTTTTTTTTAATTAGATATCCATATATTTTTCATGATTCCCATACATTTATATTTGGAAAGATATATAAGAGTACTGTCTGTTATTGTCTATGGTAGCTCTTACTATATAAAGGCCATTCTACAATGCAATATAATAAGAAATAAGCAATAAGATCTTCATTTGATATTTACATAATTCCATTGGATCCTCCAATCAAGAAGGAGAAAATCGTTTTTAAAATCGAGCGTTTACTAAATCTCTACGATTTTTATGACGTCTTGGAAATAGCAACGATCCGGAAGCGGTTGCTAGGGTCTTTAAGGACTTCACGGAGCACGAAACGTAATGAGTAACATCGAGCATGCTCCGTTCCGTAATTTATAACAGCTTACGTTAAAAATACATAGCAACGATACGGAAGCGGTTGCTAGGGTCGCTAAGGATTTGACGGAGCACGAAACGTCATTGTCACCTGTCATTACCAGTTCTATAGACGAGGTCATTATCAATATCGAGAGAAATGAAATTTCACTACGATAAAAGTCATCGTGACTTTAAAAATGAAGTAATGATTTACTTATCTGTATGAATAAACGCATACACATGTTTTTTGATATTTATATATTGACAGATAAGAAAAAAAAAAAATATGGCCCGAATATCGGCCCATTGGCAATCTCCCCATTCATCTCTGGTATCTTTCTAGTATTAATACGTATAATGTTAGGTGTTTATTTAAAACAACAAAAACAAATTAAACTTATTAAAATCAACAACATAAGACAGTCACTGTAGTTTAATTTTGTTTAAAATATTTGGTAATTCTCATGTGACGTAAACAATTTTTAGATTACAATTTTGTTTAAACTATAGACTACAAAGATATTTGCTCGCGATTGGCAATCCGGATAATCACGAATCCGTATAACTGAAGTCCGGATAATCGAGTCTCCACTGTATTTATAAATCCTAGAGTGGCATAATCCCTTAAAAGAAACATGATTGTTTGAACGTAGGAGAAATGTAAATGAAACGCGAGTGCGTTGAAGCGTATCGGTAAAAGTTTTCTTCTAAAACACCAATGAATTTTCCATGTTCTAAAAAACAGGGACAAAAACAATAATCAATGTAATTGTAAATAGCTTCAACACAATATAATATGATCATATATTCTTTAAAAAGAAAAAGTTCTAAATAAATTTTGGAAAAATCTTTTGTTTTTATAGTGATGCTATATGACATTGATCGTTGATAGAAATATACTGTTCTTTTAGCGCGTGAAAATTAAATTCCATAACTATGAATAACAACAATCTTTCACAGCTTTTCTTCAAATAATTTTTTTCTGCTGGACAAAAGTATGCTTACATTTTATTAATAGTTACTAGTTACCCATAAAGTACGTACTGCATTGATATTTAAAGATTCAGTGATGCACTGATTTTATTGGGCCCCTCGCATATTACATACGTGGTCTCATAACCTTAAAACTAGTATTCTTCTTTGCTAGGGCCTCCGTTCTCGCGAACACGTTCTCTGAACTACGTCTGACTGAATCGATGTACTCCGAGGATGCTTGAAGATCATTAGATTTCTTATCATCATTACTTTCAGAAAAAAAGGATAGCTGTCCTGTGACTAATGATTTTTTGTTTGGCTGTAAAATAATGATCACACATTCTATCAAGCAGAATTTTAGATATTGTTTCGAATCCTTTTTTTGATTTTAATAGGATATTTTATAACTACTTGTCTGATATTACATGGACACAAGCAACGTGAAATTAAATACTATGATAGAATTATCTTGAAAGTATGTAGTTACCATTGGGATATTGTACTCCAGATGCTCCAATCTCTCTTCAGAACTGGTTTCGGGACTACTGGAACACCTGTTGCTTAGAAGTCTTTGCGTTTCTTCTGGGTCATGCCTGTACAATGATAATCAAGTTTAGGATGCTCGTGGAAAGTTCTTTGTACACTTATCTATCAATTGATGCTACAATCTTAAATTTATTGAGTGTACTGCAAGCAACATCGTGTCTCCGTTTATTTGTCTGCATCTGAGAAAGACAACTGTGTTAGAAGTATGTACCAAAAAATGAATTCCAAAATGTATCTCAAGTATGCGTAAATAAGAAAGTCATGTTAGGTTTTGGAGTAATATTTCAATGACCTTAATAGATATAATCCATGCAAAATATCAGCTCAATTTACGTTTCTATTTAGCTTTGTGAATATGATGAATAGGAAGCATCTCAGAATTTCTTTTTATTCTTTATAGACGCATTTATGGTTTGTCATTTTATTACTACCTGTGTTTTAAATACAATAAGTAGCAATGTTACGAATTATAAAGCTGCCTATAAAAGATTGAAATTAGTCTTATTCTATAGTATGTAAAAAACAGTTTTTTCATATTGTAGATAACACTTGAGTCTCAATTGTATCTTGAACCTGGTTTTTGTTTGTTGTGGTACATGAATAAATAGTTTTTATCAAATTACATAGTGTTGTTACAATACCTTGACTCTGAGTCGTATCTTCTTCTAGGTACTTTCCTTGTACTCAAAAGGTCTTCAGGGTAACTTGATACTGAACCGGTTCTTTGTTTTTGCTTTACATTTTCATTGGTATAATTTGTAATTCCATCCAAAGAAAGACACGAGTTACTGATCTTGGAAGTCGTAAAAGCATCATTGGTACATTCTCCAGAAGCTTTATCAGCACGATGATCCTCAGTAATCTGAAGAAGGTTCTGTTTCCCAGGAATATTTCTAGCGCATTGTTCATCCTTGTACTGAGTATCAATGTTCTTTTGACGATCATTATTTTTCAGAAAAACGTTTTCATTTTTTTCATCCGGTTTATTTCTATTCCCATTTGAACACTCGTCCACATCCAATTGATTGGCGCTCAACGCCATTTCGCAGCTGCTTATGGAATTCGAACTTCGTTGTCGTGCTCTAGCAGAATTTCGAAGAGGTTCGGCTGTATTTTCCGAGTTTTCAAAATCGTCGGAAATATTACTAGGTTTTGTCACTGATGTAGGAATGCTAATTTCGATATTGCTCTCAAAGACGGTACTACTTTTGTTATCCGGAATGTATGTCTTTGATCGATATCTACTCTCGGAAATGACATTTCGGTCAAAAATTGTTTCGTTTAATGTGTCATTACTGGAGTTACTAAACCGATCTTGCGGCAGTGAGAATGTTTTTTCATCAATGGCGCTTTCCTCAGATTTGAATATCCGTTTGGATTCTCGGCTCAAATTCATTGATTGTATGGGTCTATCGAGACCCTGATCGAGGGATGATCCCAGTGATGACTTTACCGATTTCAACTGGCTTATTGATCTTGCTGACCTATGGCACTTCTCAAAAATGACTTTTTGGAATGGTGGCGTTAGCGGTGGATTATGTTTCCCGCTACTCATTTCTGTATCTAGGGATGATCCTGAAAATGTTCTTTTGGAACTGTCCAACCTGCAATTTGAAAATTTAATGGCTCTTAATAAATTGTTAATGATTTAGAATTAATCTGACAGCCAAAGAAATTGCGCTTAACCACAGTCCTGCTATAGGAACGTTTCAGGTTATATGGCATCTGTGTCAGTTTAATGGTTAAAGTCAATTTTTTCAAGAAATAACGAAGTTGTTATCTATTGTGCAATTAAATAAAAGTTATGAGTAAAATAATGTTATCTTCTTACGGTTGGTTTGGTTTTACGTTTATGAGGGAGGTTAGATTCATTAATGTGGTTCTTAGATCCACCGTAGGTAATCCACAGTACCATCTGAGCTGGGCAATATTTTTATTCAGCAAGTAGACAGCATAGTGAAACTGTAGTTTATCTTTGCCTCGGGCGAATAGAGGAAACCTAAACATGATAATCAATTTAATAAAAGTTGTGAGTGCTGTAAAATTGTAAAATGTATTAACTCACTGCCTATCCTTATCCGGTAAACTGTCAGTGATGTGATCTATGATTTTACTTCGTGAACCGCTGTGTATTATAGGGTATCTTGTAGGCACATTTAGGAAATTAGCAATCATTAGTGTTACATGGGCAACTGAACCTAGTGCCACAGCTACCTGGGTGTCATTTGACGAATCTAATTCTTCACTGTCAGGCAAATGGACATCATTGATCATAAATTTCCCGTCTTCTTCCTGAGTAGGTTATCCAAGATAGTTCAAGTTAATTCAGGTTTACATTTAGCTTTACATTATATCAAATAGGATACTAATGGTATTTGTACCCTGGTAATTGGATATATTAAGTCAAGCTCTGATACTAATTGTCTCCTTCGATAAGCTAACTGTCCTGTGGTTTGAACAAATGTTTCTCTGGTCTCAGCATGACTTTGTTTCCATTCTCGAAGCCTCTCTATGTCACGATTAAGCTCTCGGTATCTTCCCATCAAATCAGAACCTAATTAGGAATTCATCAGTAAATATGAGAAAATTGAAAATTTAAGGTGAAATAATAAATATTTACCATGATCCTGATTCGTTTCAAGAATGCTGGCATGGAGTTGATTTAATGTTCTAAGTTCACCCATCTTACGAACCCTTTCTTGCTCTAGAAGTTTAGTTCGAAATTTGGCAACCTCTAGATCTTTCTTAATTCTTAGTATCTCTATTTTTTTCTCTCTCGTCAGTCTTTTTGGTTGTAATAATCTGTTCAGTGAAGAGTGCGGATATTTTTGCACTTGTATATCCTCTCCAGAGGCTATTCTTTCACGTAATACTCTCACTGACTCTGATTGTTGTTTTAGGGCTTGCATCTTGCTTCGTAAACTACTTAACTTGTTGACTGTATAACTGTCACGTATTTCGGACGCATTTACATTAATATGCAAATATCTTTTAGGTTCTGGAGTGTTGACCAGGCAGTATGACGGTGTAAAGAATCCTCCATGAAGATGAAATATCAAGGAGTTGTCCTTTAGAACATTCTGCAGATTCATTGATAACTTAGGACCAATGTAAGCAAGTCCAGTAAAAGATATTCCCCAAGCGAAAACGACAACGTCAGTGGTGGTAGCATCAACTACAGTGCGTCGCCATAGTCTCAGCACAATCTCTATATTGAAAAATATTGTTAAGATAGGTAAAGAGACCAAGAATTGAGTGGTGACAGAATGTTTACTTGAAATTATATGGGAAACGGATGTGAGGTCAAGGTACTAACAGATTGTAAAGCTCACCACTGGCAGCTGAATGGCCTGTGGCATGCAGTGTTGGAACCTCCAGACATGCCCAACGTGGACTAGTGTTGTCAATAGGTTCACTTGTATACAAGGGTGATGACATATTTGTTCTATGAATGGTATAGTAGAAGTAACGTTTTTCGTATTTACCCTCGGTTCTTAAGTTATACCCTATTATTTGGATGAGGCTGCGGAGACGTAGCTAAAACAAAATTCAATACACAGAAATATAACTTAATGTTCAACAAGTTTTTCATGACCATCTTAAGATGATTTTTCCTCTAAAATAGTATTACCTGTTGTGTTGCTAGAGGAAGCCAAGACTTATATCGAGGAGGCACTCGAGGTTGCAAAGTAAGATCAAGGTCTCGAAGAAGACTTCTTGTCTCTGCAGGATCCATATTCTAAGATTACAATATTATACCCGAATTATACATAACAAGTCAAAACAATAGATAGTCTAGTAGTGATTACTGGATAATGTCACTCTACATAATGAAGTTTATAGGTTATCTTGAGGTTTTGTATCCACATTGAATGACGGGTAAAGTTTCTCATGAAATATGTATTATCTCTTGCAGTATTCAACCATGTTGGATCACTGACAGACTGCATATAACGTCAATATAATATTTAAGAAGTATTACTTAATGATAGTTGAGAGTTTTCTCGAAAGTTACTAGTGTACTCCTCTTATTCGACCATCTTTTCTCTAGAAATGAGGGCGCCACTATTGAAACGGAAAAGTTCGGTGGCGCTCTCCATGAGATTACTTGCGTATTATAGATGTCTTATTTATTCAATCTTGCATTTTAGTAGGTATTATCCTTATATTTATATTAAATACTTATTAATCATGAGATTAATCTAATTGGACTTGAAAAAACTTGTAATGTTTCAATGTATCTTTGATCTTTTCCTAAGTTTGCATATCTTTCTAAATTAGTTGCTACACTTTTGATTATAAATGTGGGAACTTTTGCAGCACTTGGTAGCAGGGTAGCAGCATCGAGTGTTGACAGTCCGGACTGTCAATGGCGTACATCGGGCGCACCTAGCTAGATTTTTGTGTGAAAGAAATGTGGCCTGTCGTCTTGGAGCATCAATTGATATGGGAATCGAATTCGTCAGTGAAATGAAGTAGATTGTTTGTTATAAAATAAAAGTAAACAAGTAAAACAGAAGACCTACAGGGACACTTGGCTCCAAAGATTGAAATGTCCATGTGATCTTCACTATGGAGCTGGTGCAAGATACTTCTAAGGAGGTTGACTGTCACACTTTGACAAGTCCTTTGTCCTCTCTGAATAACAACTCTGCCAAAGAAGAAAACTCAAAAAACCACATGCATCTTATAAGTCCAGAGGATCAAAATTCTGTTACAAGCATGGCTGAGTCTCAGTACTTGGAGAACGCAGAGTCAAGATTAGGGGACATTGAGATTCTAACAGAGATTGATAAAACATTATCTATGGAAAATAAAGTGATTCAGTCCACAGACAAAAAGACTGAAGAACCTAAAGAAAGTGGTAGTGATGATACTCCAAAGATGTCTGAATCTTCAGATCATCCACAGACCGAGTTACTGGGACAACCTTCACAACCTGCTTTAGCTTTTACTATTGACTTTGAACATAATAAGGGAGTGGATATTGCCAAGTATCAGAATCTGTTTGAGAGATTCAATGCAAGGCATCGTAGAAATTTATCTACTTCAAAAGTGGAAATCAAATCTAAGAAACAATTGTTATCACCGAATTTTGCGTCCAAGCAGAAAGCACCTAGTACTCATTCTGAGGGATATTTTAGCAGTGATCAAGAGGATGATACTAAGAAAAAGGCTGACCAATTATCCAGAAAACTTAAACAGTTGGGTAAGGAATTATCATCATTATAAAGTCAAAATAACTAAATGCTCATGACACAGTATTTGTCTAAGCTCTTTAAAATAAATTTGTACGCACGACATGTCACTTATCCAACGGTATCTCATACATTTCCTGTGATGCTTATAAGAACTTTGTAATATTTATGTTTTCTACTTGTTCTATAGCTATTTTTAACATTTTTAAAGTAAAATTTATTAGCATTGGACAAAATGATAAGAAAAGAAATTAATAAAATCTGAGTTTAATTTAATAGCTGTTGGTTGCACAATAACGTATTTTGCAATAGGAAGCAAAATATATGATTTGTTGATAAATAATTATTGATGCTTAAGTTTGCAAATTGATTTTGCAATTGTTTCATAGATATTACTTCATCAAATTGAAAGAACACTATTTTGATGTTAATATTATTTAATATTTGTAATCACAGACCTCAAATGAAGTATTATTGAATCTGACAATTTGGCATCATTATTATAATGAAAATTTTAATCAAAATAGTGATATTCGCCATCAAAGCAAAGCTAACTATACTTAACTACAGGAATTCTTACCATTTTATTATCATTCTGCTGAATTATTGTATCATAATCATGAGGTGCAGTGGTTACTTCCTACTGTGTTAATTATTAAATGTCGTTCCAAATTACTAATTTAATTCTATACAATGTGCATTAATGCACAATATTCCAAACATATTTTAGTTATATATTTTGAAATAATTAAAACTCGAATTTTTCATTTGCATAAGAATAGCCTGATTTAATAAAAAATTGGGCATTTTATGGTGAGGTAATTAATCCATATGATTATTGATTTCTTACTTTTTAAATATAAAAGAATGATATAGTATTATTATCATTAAATTTTATTCTACACAAGTTTCAATGTCGCCAAGAACTCAAATTATTTTGCATAATGACTCACTACCAGTATGCCATTTGACTTTCCATATCGAAATTGCTGGTGTGACTCATGTTGAGGTCATCTTTAGTACGAAATGTCTGGACGTACATATCTTTCTAAGGAAACATCATTATTATTCAGAGATGATCATCAATTACAAAGCCACACGCTGATGGTATACATGTGTACTTATGCACGTATAAGAATAAGCATAGTTACACGTGGGAGGGTTAAATGACTCCTTGAATATTTGTATAAACTCGACGAATTATCTGATTTTCCCAGGTTCCAAGTCAGTATCAAAAGCGCAATCAATAGCGAAACGATCAGAGTCCATGTCCAGATCCTGCACAGAAGATTCCCTTCAAGAATCGTCTCTAGCTCAACAGGAACTGACCAGAAACGTCCAGCCGTCCCGTGAGAAACTGTCCTTGGATTTGGGAATTTCGTCGAATTCTGGTACCAGGTCTACCAGAAATCCACAAAAATCCTTGACAATGAATGATCTTAGTAGAGTTCAGTTAAGTAATTTGGACGTGGAGAAAACGAATTCTGTCCAATACTCTCCAGTGAAAAGATACACAAAGAATATCGAGTACGTTGAAATAGACCATGAAGACCAGGGTCAAAGTAATTTGGAAGCAAGTATCAATGACCTGTCTGAGAAGATGTCTAACATGGATTATCTGGCTAGTAGTTGTACTTCAAACAGCTTCACTAGTCCAAGGGACGCGAGTATGCATCTTTCCAGTATTAGTAACACTGTAGAGTGCTCTGCCGATGCTTTGGAGAAGACAAATTTGGATGTTTTCAATGTCAGTAACTTGGATGCTGAATCTGACGGAGCTGTTAGTGAAGCAGGAACTTATACTGTACATAAGGATTATACGGATGAAGAAAAGGCTAGGATGGACATTGATAAAGTTTTCAGTGTCGGAATACTTACTGAAGAAGAAAGTAATGAGTCTTATGTACATAGTTTCAAGGTCGGCTTGCAACATCAATTAATAATTATTATCCTTGAAAATTTTAATTAAAATAGCATTTGCATGAAAGAAGAATTTCATTTTTTAAAGATGAGTATATCGAGGAACAACAACACCTGGATATCAGAATGGGCTACTCAGGTAGCCGAACACAATTCGCTGCCACCTCCAGTAGGAGGATCTACTGCTCGAACTCCGCCAATGAGTCCAACGAAAATACCTTCGCCAATTCATAATAGGTCACAAAGATTATCGAGGAACCGTCAGGTAGGTAGACTCGTTGTTCAATAATATTTTTCATCTTTATTATCCTAACGATACCAATCATTCCAGGAACAGAGTGACAGTAGTCTGGATACCGAATCCTATCTGCACGTCAAGAAGAATCTTGGTATTCTATCTAATCAAAATACTCTGATAGATTCTGGAGGAGAATCGGATGACGACACAAGCAACAGTTACAATACTCCTCCACACAGTTCACAACGCACTCCGACACATAGTGCCCTGGTGCGACGTGGTAGCTTGTCTGAAGCTCTTTTCAAACGAATTAATTCAAATGACACAAGGAGAAGTGTCCGAAACTATATGGGATCAGAAGCTAGATCCAAGAGAGATGAGCCAGTCTTGAATCAATTGAAGAGCCCTAACCACGTTTTGGCCTGCTTGCAGCTTAGAAGAAACAGTTCTCTAGATAGAAAGGAATATACCTCGGACACTACGGAGTCTAATACTTCCAGGAGAAACAGTCTAAAGAGTTATTTAGAGGATAATCTTAAACCAGTTAATAGTCCAGTGCTGAATCGGCTGAGACCAACTACTCCAAAATTAACAAACAGCCCAATATTAGTTCGTAAGGATCTCAGTTCAACTATTATTAATTCCCCGGTACTAGAAAGAACTAGGAACTTGGGAAAGTCATCACCGCAAGCTAGAAACATTGGATACTTTACATGTACCGAAAATAGCCCTTATATGCTAAGAAAATCTAGTAGCACTACAAATTATCACGAAGACACAAGTATTCATGGCAATAAGGAATTATCAGCCACCACTATCACTATATTACAAAACAGTCCCGTTCTGCAGAGGAACGTTAACATACAGAGATCTTCCAGTAATGCTAGTATCAGGAATGCTAAAATCACAAGTATGCCCGGACGCAGAAGTAGTTTTAATAATAGTGACAATGACAGAAATTCTCCGAGGGGAAGATTCACCATTGCTTCGGATAGCAGCAGCGAAACTGGAGAAGTTCAAAAGTCATCCGCACATCCGATATCATCAGGGATTAAACTGAATCGGGCTTTTAGTATACGAAGAGCCAGGTAACCTAATTCTAAAATAGTTTTACATCTTGTTACCAACTTATGAGATTTCTAAATCCTTTGAGATAAGCTAGTTGTTAGCTGTTTCATTCGAATTTACATTTTTAGACTAAATTGCGAGTCGGACACTACTCCAAATACTACACCAGAAGAGCGGCGTAAAAGAGGTCAGGTTGAAGTAAAGTCAGCACCCTGTTCAGCACGGCAACAAAGTCATCACAGAGGTCGAACTAGTAGCGTTGGTGCAAGTAGTGCGGACGTACTAAAAAAAACCGAACCGGCAAAGCCCAGAGCTCCCTCGATATCTAGAACGGACAGTGGAAGGTTCAGCATGAGGACCCCAAAAACAGTTACTCATGTAAGCCATCAAAAATGTAAACTAATATTTTTATAGCACTACAAATACTTTTCTCGTTTAGCATACATCCGCGCAAAGGCCTAATCAAAAGTTAATTAAAGAGCATAAGAAGTCTACCAGAAGTAATTCCACTTTAACTTCGAAGGAAGTTGAGTTTCAAAATTGGAAGAGACGTAAGAATTATGATCCGATGAAAGCAGCTGCGGAAGGCAAGAAAAAAATAGAGACGTCAAAAAAGCATCACAGTATCGAAGACAGTGCCTCTACGTAAGTAGAATTCTTCATGTTGTGGTTATTAGGGAATCGAGAATGTAACTTTCAGGTCATTTAGTAATCCTTAACCTTTTAGACGTGACAGTTCAGTTCTGAGGTCTGCTAGCTTTCATGGAACTGGTGCGGCTCTCTCTCTTGTGGATAATTGGTCTGACAACGAAGAGCTAAATGTTGAACAGAAGTGTAGCCAACCTCCGCCACCTTCTTGTAGTCCACAGCTGGGTAGCGATAGTGATTTTGAGACTTCATCCTATCTGCAAACTACTCAAAACGTTATGTCCGCTATGTCTGCTCGCATAACGGTTCAACATCCCAACCTTGTCGACTCTGGCGGCGAAAGCGATGATGACACTAGCCATAGCCTTCGTAATTCCAGTACCAGAATAACACATCAACCCAGTGATACTGAGAGCAGCGATGAAGTTCAGCCGGTGGAACCACCTCCTATTTCGAATACAAAATATAACAGGGCATTCAGGTTAGTACTTTTTGTGATGCAATATCAAATGTGTATTTGTTTCCTGATATAGTATTATTAGAGCCGGTCTCACCAAGTTTAACATTAACCGTACTATCAACCGGTCGTGTGACCGTTTTAGAGCCAAAAATACATTTATAAAAAATGGTATGGTTAGAGTTAAACAATCATATGCCCATATTCTGAACATTTTCATTGGTTCATCTGATCAGACGATCTTTAGTCAATTTTGGTTAAACCCGGCCTTAAAAGATTATGCGAATACCAATTATTTTGTGATTAACGTGGACACTCGTTTAATTGTGTTAATCTGGTAACAGCTTTGATTGACTAACGATTTAATAAGGTAACGATAATTTTGCATATTATTTTTTGACAATCCAATGTTCGAAAGTATATGCCGAGACGAAATTTTTAGAAAATTGTTAGTAGTCATTTGTTATATCTATTCATATCCCAGTCAAACAGCTATTGCTGACAGCATTGCGAATGACCTTTTTATTATTACACTCTATGTTGAAAAGCAGCATTCCATTTCACGTGAGTAAATTTATATTGAGTTCTATGAAACATAACACAGGTATACAGAATGATTCGAAATTAGGGCAAAAGTTTGTACGAGCGTATTTCATTAGAATTCATTAAATACATAAAGTCGTCAAACGACAGTCTTCAGTAAGCAATTCCGAATAGATTACACTCCTCCCATAAACTAATGAATAAAAATGATCAGTTTACGTAGGGGCCGTTTGGATCAACCGGAGTCAAAAGTGAATTCAGCAGCACCATCGAAAGTGAAAACATCACCGCGTGAAAGTCGTGGCAAATACGAACCAGTAGGTAGCGTCGCCAGGACAGATTCGGGCCTGTTCTGCACGAAATCTTCAAAGTCTTCGAATGTAAGTGCAAACAATATTTTCTGTATAACCAAATTAGTAAACGTTGGAGGGCCCCATTTCATTGTCGCTATCTTTCTCTTCAAGATGAACAAACCGAGGCAAAAGATCTCGAAAGTCACAAATAGTGGAATGACAGCGTCGCGTGATGTGGAAATGCAGAATTGGAAGCGTCGCAAGAGTTACGATCCCATGAAAGCCGCTATGGAAGGGAAGCGAAAGGCAGCTGGTCTTGCAAAGCGAAATAAAAATATAAATCTCTCACCGAGGTAAGTGAATAATCGTTGAAGCTTTTGAAAACTTAGCAAAAGGATAAGTAAAACTGATACAACTGTATTCCAATGGTAATGATATATGACTATGTGTTGCTAGGACTGATAGCGATCGGTAATCTAGAGATAGACACGACGAGTTCGAAACCGGTACGGTACATACAAACCCATTTTGAACGGCTTTGCCATTTTTTATTTTCCGTGACACTTTATACTGCCTGATAGTGGGACTTACTGGTCCTGCAGGCTAACTCTGCCGATTCTTGGTTTTCTTTTGCTTAACGCTGCACACGTGGTCGAAATATTGAGTTTCGTCTTTTATGTCAAATAAGCTTATAAAAAATATCTTGAACTATGTCCATAATTTAAGTTTTCTTTTTATTTATTGCCGACCTACCTATGCAGTTTTATATGCATTGTTTAGGTCCTAAAACATTTCCATAATAATGGATGTAGCATACGCAATGATTTATCATAAAAAATGTGTCGCTTCTATTATCATACTGTTATTTGTACGTACATTATGTTTTGCACCAGATTTCATTTTCTGATTTTTCCCAGTGGCGGGGGGGGGGGGGCAAAACACGACTATCCTATCTACATTCTTGTATAAGAAGACATTCAAGAATTTCATCCACCAATGTTTCAAAGTAAAATATTAATATTCGTAATCAAGTGCTTTTTGAATCTATTTGGAAAATACATTTGGACTCCAAATTCAAGGTTTCGAAATTCCTGGCATGCCTTGTCTCGAAAGTCTAGACATGATGTATTATCCCATGACTTGCTATCCACGCTTGTCATATTATTAGTTCTATTTTAAGTTTAAGCTTACCGTGCCTGATAAGTGGTCGAGATTCAATATTTCTGTCTCAATTTGGCCTACAGTGTGTTTGATGCTTTAATTGTTAAACTGGGCTTGTACTTAACTTTTTCTTTAATACTTAAACGTCCGATATCTTATGAATATCTCGTTTAAACAGTACTTGATTAGTTTGCTAATAGAGAGTATACAATTCTTTATTCATTCAACAATGAAACGGATTTTGATATCACAAAAAGGATTACAAATTAGTTAATTGTTTTCTCGAGGAACTATGTTTTTAGTATTAGATAGATTTTTGGTCCCAATTCTTGGTGATTTATGGTATGAACTGTTAACGTTAACTCCAACTTCCTGTCAATTAACTGCTTAGTTTTTCTCGTTTAATGTTTCTCGTCCAATCAACGTTTTGCCAGTATCGAGTGAGCCTATGTATCCAAGTAAGCTTTGTTCGTGTACAAACTATGAGAACTTCTATTCACTTCAATTTTCGTTCATGTGGCCATATAAAGATGTGATAAAATTTTAGATTACAAAACTTGAAGAGATACATTCAAAGGTAAGGTGTTAAGGGGGATTAAAAACTAAAAGGTTCCACGTCCTACTTCCAAAATTATAGGTAAAAGCAATTTGTAGAAGTCATAGCAGACACGAATATAATGTATATTAAATAGAAATAGCAATTGTCAAGCTGTAACCAGTTACTGAGAAAACCCTGTAGGAAATGAATAAAATCATCTACGGTTTTTGTGTTGCTATCGTTTGCAGTACTTTTTAAATACTTTCATAGTAAATAACGCAATGAATCTCCAATGTTCTATGCTTTTATTGTCTTGTTTTTGTTTGTCTGGTAATCGTCTACCATTAATTATAATTTTGATTTTTGCATACAGCCAATGTTTTTTATCGCCTATGTTAATTATCATTGTATATTGCAATACAAAAAGAACAAGTGTTTCTCTACTATTTTTTCTTACTATTTTCATGCGGTGTCAGAGGAAAACATCAAAACTCTATTACGTAACTGGGACTGAGGACTTTACTTGGTAATTTAGAGAGTCCAGTCATGAAAATAAAAAATAGCAGGATTTTTAGAGACATTTTTTAATTAGAGTACAACTGTGCATCGCATCATATAAACAAATATGTAATATCTATATAGATAGAGAAACACTTGGCACTAATTATTTAATTGTTTGAACAACTCATCTTAATCGAGTTACTATTTTTTAAATTCATATTGTTTACCAGGCAAAGAGAGCACAATGTAAGAGAGACACTACTGAAGAAAAGTTAATTCATAAAATTGTACTTTCGTTTTACTGTTCGCAGTCACGTCCTGAGATCTCAAAGTTTTCATGGTTCGGTTGGTCTTGGCGGGAGCGATTGGAGTGATGAAGAACTAGTGGCATCGGCAGATGAAGCATCGCTCTATTAATAAATTAAAAAGAAGAAAGAAGCAATACAGATTGAATTCAGTTGCGACAAACTTGCAAAGTGGTTCGGAGCAGCACATTGCACAAGTTTCTGACGGTTTTTAATGGCAAAACGGACCAACGGTAGCCAATCTAGTTGAGAGCCAGTTGATCGGTGCTGACAATTTTCACCTTGTTAGTTGGAGATCGGAAATCAAAGAAGAATTAAAAAAGTGAAATATACGTTTTCAAAAAGATCTTGAAACAAGGGATACGTAACTTCACGCATGCAATTCTGCGATATCTTCGTTAAATTTTTACGTGCAATCAAAAACGGAAATTAATATTAATTGTTCTCTCATCAATGAATCTCTGATTGATCGGAGACTGATTAGGTTTTTATTAAATTTTGGGTTTTTTTCCATTCGTAAGTCCAATTGGTACTTGCTATACTGCATACCATAATAATCTGTCCACCGGCTGTCGAGATAATACTCGTACGAATACTATAGCTTAAAGACAGTACTTTCTACCGATATTGATATTATTATAGGATTACTAATATTAAGATGCTAAGTATCTATGGAACCGAGTCTGATACATGGAACCAACGGGATATACCTATTATTGGAAGATGATTTGTATACCAAAGGAATATCCGGAAATTGACGGTCACATCACTTGTCTAGAATATTATCAGTCACCATGACAATTATACATACATCGATAATCTAGCCGTTGATACGTTTTTGCCAATTTAATGAGACGCAAGCTACTACTTACGGTGTAACATAATGTTGAGTTAACGTAGAAATACGTCAGAATGCGCAGGCGAAAAAGAGACAGAAAGAGAGGAGGAAAGAGAGAGAGGGAGAGAGATTAAAATGAAAATGGTTGTCTCTTGTTTTTATATATTTTTTTCTCTTGCTGAACGTATGTATTGTCTATTAAACATGCGTATGGCTTTATGTATTTTTAGATGAAAGTTTAAAAGGAGATTGTTTGTTCAGTATGCTTGTTACTCTATGATAAATTTACTGTAAATTTTCAAGAAAAGTGGCCTATGATATTTTTAAAAATTATTATTTAAGATCTACATAAAAAGCTCCGTAAAACTATAGATAAATATAATAAAAGATATAGGTATGTATACATATGTATACATTATATCATAAAGACGTACGTATATGTGTATATTGGTATCTCTCAACTACAATTTGATTCTCTTTTAGTTCACTCCATCGATACAGCTATAACTGAGTGCCAAAATTTGCAAATTGTCATAGAAAGTTAGTATGGCAAATATTTGATAATCAATTTTAACAACCAATTTTGTTGTTTGTCGTTACGTGCGTTTTTGTAAAATGTTAAGCACACATTGTTAATAGATTATTTATTATTCGTCTTACAGTAAAAAGAATCTCTTGGTAGAATTTTAATTAATCTAGATACTTTAATTAATTACTCGATAAATAATAATTAATTTAATGCAAGTCTAGCTCAACACACAAAACACTAATTCTTCCAAAAGATTTTTGATATATGCATTACTTTAGATAACCTGTTTTTTTTTCATATAAATTTTGTTCCCATTCAAAATAATTTTCTCCGACAAAACTACACATTTCTAAAAAAGAAAAAAATTGTAAGTGATGCGATGAATACAACGGAACAAAAATTGCTGAGCTTTCTGTATCATTTAACTCAGCCAATGAAGATTAATTAGACGCATTTTTTAATTGGTGGGAAAGGAATTCAGTGATTCCAATATTTTCTCCGCTTTATACAATTACATTACTCTACATTACTCTATCGCCATTTACTTATTTTCTTCCTTGTAGTCAAGCACCGTTACCACAAGGTTACTTAACAATTATATATCGCGCGTCTCAACGAGTCAATAAAACTACTCTCGTAAACTCTTGTTTTTTGAAGAATTTAATTTTTTTAAATTACTCGATCCATAATTGCTGCTCCGAGTAATTAATCAGAGTTGTATATTAATACAAGTTTTCAAAATTGTATATTACGTTGCGTCTATTTATTTTCTTTTTCTATGGAGTTACGCTCAGAGGCCTATATTTTCTATTTATATCATAATAATTGCAATATTGTCGTACAATTGTTGAATGCATATTTATTGATAGAGCCTTCATCGTCCTATGATTAATTTAATTATTCGATAGGCCATAGAGGTGTTATGTGTAATAATTGATAAGACGAATGGTCTTTTCATTTCCTCTGTCTCATGATTATGAAATGATTGCTGTAGCACAGTACGACGAAACTTAATATATTTTTTTATATGCGGTGCTAAGAATGACAATAGGTCAGTTAGGAGAACACAATGTAGTCTATTAAAAGTGCATCGTATACACATTAGATCCATCCTTTAAGTAATGCTAAGAAGTCCGAAGAAATCTTCTGTGCAGTCGGAGTGGACCAGAGACTTGAAAAACGCAGTCTAGAGTCTAAAGTCTGTATGTTTAGTCTGTATGTTTATCATTTAACAAGAGTCTCATCCAAAGTACATTTTAATGTTATCAGGCATTATACGCTCTTGGTAATAAAGATATAATTGTATATAATGCAAAAATAACAAAATATTGTGTTTTAATGAACCTGGTGCATCCTTTGGAGATTATCAAGCGGCATATTTACTCTTTTGCTTCATATTTAAATTTATTACATAAGATGACAAGGGATCCTCAACTATTAAATGATGAAGATATTTTATATTATCCGAGGTTGCTTATTTATTATTAGCTTCTATTCATCGCAGGATGGACTACCAGCAATTGTTATGTCAGATATTATTGTAGAATATGGCTAATAATAAATCATTAAAATTATTCATAAAATACATGGTTTTTTTTTAAATTCTTGAATATAAATATACGAGAGTAGTGACATTCTGCGAAATTGAATTAGAAGAATTTTAGACTTTTCTGAATCGAAGTACAGTTGTTATCTTATTTTCTATAGCCGTGTTAAAGGAAATGTTTGATAGCGAGTCAATCATGTAAATCCCGGTTTCGTAATTTCATATTTAAATTATGATTATTAGCCAATAATTGCCGTTAAATTCTTTTGACCCCAGGACGTAATTGGTTCGTAATTATTTTGTTTTTTTGGTTTCTCCAAAATGGGCATATGCATTCGCATCCCTAATACTTCACAAGGGATCTTATTTACGAGGGATGATATGTCCTCAATATATATTTTTAAAATTTTCGCGCTACTTAATTATCAGAACGTCACTCCCGCACACGTCAGCTAGACAGCGCCATCTACGGTGTAGCAAGTCGAGTGTATGTAATGTGGAGTATACGGTGGTACAGATAAAAGATTTTATATAGGATAACTTTTAGGGTGTAGAACAGAGCCTGATTAGGAAATCAGCATGGCAAGTATACGATTTTACCTGAATATGTAAAAAATTTCAAATGGCGCAAGTCTTTTTTGTATTAATGGATGGAATTTTGTGTGAGCACATCGGGGTCGTGGCTGCAGATGTCAACTGCCATTGTCGGCTTCGATTATTCTCAATCACTATAGCTCATATGTGATTTTTATGAGGGTAATGGGGGTAATGTTTAATTATGTACTATTATTTTTTAGGTACTTATTGCTGCTGCAGTATGTACCAAAGCGGGCAAGAGTGAGTACAATAAATAAATAAATAATTGTAGTGGATTGTATTTCAACATTTCCTTTGAACCAGTATGTGTCATGCTGGCAACTTTTTCATAAGGAAGTTTATTCCTTTAGCACGCATTGAAATTAACCTTTTTGCATTATGATAAGATATTTTAGTGCGATTCTTATTGAAGATTAAATTACCTATCTTGATGATTCACTTTATACACTGTTGCTAATAGATTTATGGCAAATAGATATCTTTTACTATAGATATGCAATATTCGTATTTGTTGTATTAATAAACAGCATATGTGTGTATAGAGTAAAGTTAGAACTATATGATTTTTCATTTAATCGTCATATATTATTCCATAGCTATTATCTCTCGCCAATTTGTGGAAATGACAAAGGCCAGAATAGAAGGTCTGCTTGCAGCATTTCCCAAGTTAATGAGCACTGGGAAACAACATACATTTGTAGAAACAGAATCTGTCCGTTATGTGTACCAACCTCTTGAAAAGCTCTATATGCTATTAATTACCACCAAGGCTAGTAATATTCTGGAGGATCTTGAAACCCTTCGGCTCTTTGCCAGAGTGGTATGTGAAATCAGCTTTATTGTACTATTTATTTTTTTTATGTTTTCTAATTTGCTATATATTATTTGCATTCAGATACCAGAATACTGTAAATCCATGGATGAACTTGAGATTGCAGAAAATGCTTTTAATCTCATTTTTGCATTTGATGAGATAGTTGCTTTAGGCTATCGGGAGAGTGTTAACTTGGCACAAATTAGAACTTTTGTGGAGATGGACTCGCACGAAGAGCGTGTATACCAAGCTGTAAGATTCACTCAGGAACGTGAGGCCAAAAATAAGATGAGAGAAAAGGCCAAAGAACTTCATCGGCAAAGAATGGAAGCTAATAAGAAAGGTGGATTCAAAAGTCCAGGTTATGGTGGTGGCTATGGTGGTAGTGGAGGATTTACACCTAGTGTAGGTGATTCAGCCAACTATGTACCAGAGATCGTAAAACCCGTCTATGCCTCCATGCAGTAAGCATTTTTAAATTGGGATAAATTAGAAATAATATGTAGTGACTATAATGTTTCTTATCCTTATAGAAAACCAACCTCTTCAGGTTCTGGTGCTATGAAACTTGGTGGAAAGGCACGCGATGTAGACTCATTTGTGGATCAATTAAAGGAAGAAGGTGAAACTGTAGTCACATCACCGTTAGCTGCTCCCGGAGTGAAAGCTGCTCCAATATCTCCTCAGATTATCAATACAGAACCGTAAGTAGTGAGAAATTATTTAGCATCCTACTTCACTAAAGGGTGAGAGTAGCTATACTTGAATTTTTAGAAACAATTCTTGTTAATCCTTTCCAATGAATGACCATTTAAGTTGAAGAGTATTCAATAGAAAGGTTAGGCTTTACATTTTGTCGTACTTTTGTGTTCTCTATTAAGCTGGAAGTTGATGGTAACAAAGTATACTAAGTAAAAATTGAAGTTAAGTGATCTTTAAATAGAGTATTTGGTTACAGTTGGCAGTTATTATATGATACTAAATCTTGTGAATCTATGGATCTGCACTCATTGCTTTACAACTTATATTTCGCTTTTAGAAAATTGCTACCCTTGTCAGCAGTTAACAATCCTCAGACTACAAATTATTCAAATTTGTTTCCAAGTACAATTAGGATTAATAGAAACATGAAAAAGGAATCTAAAATGTTTAATGTAAAGCTTAACCGTAGCAACTGTATACAATGTGCAAGTTTCATGATTTGGCCCTTCAGTTCACATGTGGTTGGTGATCTAATCAAGATTACCTATTAATTTCAAAAGACATCCCAAACACTAATTAAAGTCTCATTCCACATTTTCTATCAGAATACACTTGAGGCAAGAGGAAAGGCTGAACGTCCGCGTGAGTCGTGATGGTGGAGTTCAGAATTTTGAATTGCACGGCCTAGTGACCCTTCATATTTCTGATGAAAAGTGGGGCCGCATTCGTGTGCAGTTAGAGAATCGTGATTCGCGCGGCGTACAATTGCAAACTCATCCTAATGTCGACAAAGAGCTCTTCAGGACGCGTGGACAAATAGGTCTTAAGATACCAACCAAGCCATTCCCATTGAATACCGATGTGGGTGTATTGAAATGGAGATTGCAGGCTCAGGATGATACTGCTTTACCAATTTCAAGTAAGTGTATCAAATAATGTACACATATGTACATGTATATGTAACTTACTTAATAACACTTATTTAATTGCACTCTTATGGGGAACTAGCATTGTCTTAACCTATTATTGTAATATAATACTCTTTATGAATGATTTTATAGTCAACTGCTGGCCATCGGAGAACGGAGAAGGCGGCTGCGATGTGAATATTGAGTACGAGCTTGAACAGGATGACCTTGAACTTAATGACGTGCAGATAAATATACCCTTGCCAATCGGTTGCAATCCTGTCGTGAATGAATGTGATGGTCAATATAATCACGAATCACGTAGGAATACTTTGGTATGGTCATTGCCACTTGTGGATGCGTCGACGAAATCTGGATCCATGGAGTTTTCAGCGGCATCCAGTACTCCGTCAGATTTCTTTCCTCTTCATATTTCCTTCTCTTCGAAGACGTCCTACGCGAAAATCAAGGTAAACATTTTTCGAATTTGAAGAATATATACGTAATTCAAGATACCTAGTTATAACACAAAGCCTATAATCACTATCATTACCGATTCCTAATCAATAATTTGTAATCATAGTTTGCTGTTCAAACGGTATTAATAGAAATAGCATTAAGTAATTCGTAATTCTCATGATGCGGTTCCTCTGGCGGTACAAGATTTCTCATATGGAGAGAACTTTTTCTTTTCTCAGTGTCTAAAGTGTATATTAATTTCGCTAAATATTTTTAGGTTACAGAAGTGCTCTTCGTGGAGGACGAGAGTCCCGTCAAATATTCCGTAGAGACGGTTTTCTTCACTGACAACTACGAAGTTGTTTAGTTTAAACTGGTTAGAATCCTCAAAAATTTGTATTTATACACGATACCTGGAATAGTAATTAGGCGCACACCAGGACGAAGCATTAATTCCAAGGTAAATATATATATATATACCAGGTTAAGTATAACGTTTCAAAATACACGGATTCTTATGATAAAAGTATTGTTATAATTGCGAGTTTTATCTTGTACCCATCGATGTCTCCTTTCTAACTTGTCCGGAATATCATCCGTAATGGTTTAAGATAGAATTTTTTGTCTATGTGAGGGAAACTAGAATTGTATTACGACAATTTTTGTATAACATTGGGATATTGAAAGCTCCTGCATTATATGAGTATTCTTATTTGTTAATACAAGAAAATGGAAATCCAACGATTATTATTCTGGAAATTAAATAACGTGAATTTTTATAACTATCCTTGAAAGAAGAAGAAACAGGAAGTAATAGGAAACGATAATCATTGTCCCCTCATATCCTCATTGTCTTCTACTTTACAGTTAAGTAATCTTGTGCAGAGCTACAAATGCCAACAATTTATTTAACATGTAATAAAAAGGCTAGCCCATTCTATACGGAGCCCTTTGAATATTAATGGAATTATTTTATAAATAAAGATATATTACATTATTAGCCGTTTAATTGTACAACGATCACGATTATATACAAAAATACATTTAATTGCTCGTTTATTGCTTTCACAATGTGTTTAATTGAGAGAAAAGAAAGTGGACTTCCTGATTCCGTTAAGTATAATTAATCGTAGACCTACGTCAATATTTATATTTACAATTGAATAATACAGAACATTCATAATTTCACTGTAAAATGTCATTTGGAAAATTCACTACTTGTTGCATAAGATAATTTTCGATTACTGCTTTTGCTGGATCACAAATAGAAAAAAGTATATATTACATCACTGCATAATTAGTCATTAAATAATAAAAGAATCAATGATTTAAATGTAAGGAAATTACCTGTCAGTGCATTGTTTAATACGGCGGCGTGATAAGCACTAATATTGTAAGCATTGCGATGAGTGATATCAGCACCTCTGGAGAGAAGTTCATAGCAGACATGTGGATGATCTCCTCGAGCTCCGTATATCAATGGTGTATTACCTTCCTGATGGATAGTGTCTGTAGACATTATTACACATGCTAATTCCTTATGCAAGAGATTATTTGTCATACCTTGTCGTTCGCATTTATATCTGCTCCATGATGCAACAACAACTTTACAAGATCATGGTGTCCATAAGCTGCAGCTAAATGCAAGGGAGTTTCTCCATTGAGTCCTCGATAATTTTTATTAGCTCCAGCTTTAAGCAAGTGCTTGGCACTTCCCAACTGCCCATATCCTGCAGCCCACATGAGTGCCGTCAGTCCTTTCTCATCAAGAAGATCGACAGATCCTGAGCATTTTAAATATTAACAAAATATATATAACAAAGTACAAAGTAACTTTTCATATACATAGAAATGTAAAATGTCTATATTAAATAACTAAAGTCAGAATAAACTATAAAGATTTGGGAATAGTAACCAGGATGAATATTTTCGGGAGTAAGTTCCCCTTGACCCGCAAGTGTATGAAATGTGATATCATTGCTTGCGTAAAGCTGTGGAATCTCTGTCTGGGTGTTTCCTCTTTGCAGATTAGTCAATAATGTAGGTGGCTAGAATAATAGTTTATTCAATCAATAACTGATTTGCTGATTCACTGTAAAAAAAACCTATAATACAATCAAATAAATATAGATTTGTATATTGGAGTACCTTATAAGGCTGAAAAGCGCTAGTTCTAGTAGCATCCTGCCATGCACCAGGTGCCCAGTAACATTTTGTTTCAATTGGTTCGGATTTGCATCCTATATCCACATTGTCTGGTTTGTAAATAATCGGTCTCGGTCTTATCCCAATAGATGTTTCAGTGTTTTCACGTGTTGCTCCTATTTTGCGTTTTGTTAGGTTATCCACCGGCTTCTCCTTAACTTCTTTGTCTTCTTCTTTTATAATCAACTCGGAATGAAATTGGGAATTCATAATTTTTATTTTTTATCACATAAGCCCGGATTTTCCTACATCACGTGATTGTTTTTTAAAAATTCTTAGGGTCATCAGTTGATAAAAAGTGCAAATACTGAATTTGACATTTTATACTTGTTTAGTTTTTTGACCAGCACAACAATCATTCAAACTGATCACGTACTTTGTCGAGTGGGTGTTTTTCTTTTGACAAAGCACTTCCAGTCTTGTTGGATTCTTGTGTTCTTTCTGGATCTTAATGCACGTGCATACACGTATAGTACGACGCTGAAAAAACAGACAAAATTCTCTAGTTAGAGCACATACATGTAGTATATCAATGAAATAGGATGGGAAAGCACACCCAGTACGTGGCGCCATCCTTTTAGACTAGTACGGAAGAATTATGTACTATTCATCAGAGCCAGGAATGCTAAATAATTTCCATTTAATTCAATAAAGAAATAAAAATTTGCGTATTATATGGTAGGGTTCCTTAATCTTTTTTAGAATACCGCATGTTGCATTTATTATTTTATTATATTATATAAATTAAAATTTTTATGTGAATGTATTATTTACTGTCGATGTATCAAGATTTCCTAGAGCATGTAAAACATATTTTCATAACAACTTGCATCGAAACTTTAAGTTTTAATGTCTCTACAGTTGTGTTTCTTCCCACTGTAAGTCAAATTCAATGTTTATTTCAACCCTATTACTTTCTCATTTGTTTTTTAGTTACTTCAGTTTACTTATTTGATTTTCATAACTGACAGTTCTAACCGTGCAAACATCACAATTTACGCAAACGCTAATAGTTGCCCGCACCATTAGCGTTAAATCAACTTGTTTCTGACTGCCTCCTGAAACTGAAACTTGGTTTCAATGCAGGTAATCATGAAAAATATAGTGTGTGACACGGAATAAAACACGATTTCAAACTTCGGGTTATGTGAACCCTCGCCTACGGCTCAGGTAGCGAACTTCACCCTAGTCTGAAATTGTCTTGTTTCATCCCTTCTCACACAGTATACTATTAAATGACGATCTCGTGGCGGATCTTATTCAAAATATTAAGTACCTCGTAGTTCCTTTATTAAATATCCAATAAGGTGAGCAATAAAGTAATAATACAATTATTAGGATCTGGTATCCTATATAGGTGAGGATAACATTACATTTTGATATCTTCCTAAAATCATTAACCAAGTCCACTTCAACAAACATGTACAAGGGCTTGAAGGGTTTTTTTTAAAAAATCGGTAGAAAAGATAATGCGTTTATTGTTACTATTATCAATGTTAAATCATCTATCATCGTTTATTTCAAAGAGCGACAGGGGACAGTACATCGCCGTCGTAAATGGATCAAGAACGCCTTAGAAGTTAAGATGAGAAAAAAATTAAAAGAGAAAAGAAAATGGCAAGTTCTAGGGTGAAGAAAGATGGTGATTGTCAATCAACGTCAACAAAGTGATATGTCAATTTTCTTGATCCCCTTCCTAACTTTTAGGGCCAATGTAAACGGTTCAATATGGCAGGAAAAATTGGAAAGGATCTGCCAGTCATTTGTCATTTTTCATTATTATTTGATATTCCCGATAACTACCGCTTAACTATTGGAATACACCACAATTGATTCGACTTGGAGAAAACTATCCATTTTAGCAGAACTATTAAACATTTTTATGAATGCAAATTCAAAATCCACGGTTTAAGTGAGTGCATTCTTTTATACAGCAGCAGTAAGAAGATCGTGCGATAGTTGGCAGATTTCAATCAATGAAATGATATTGGTTACAGTACAACATCCACTGCGTAAAGGAATGCACTCGGTCTGTTTCGCCCGTTTTCTTCGACGCAGTTCAATGCATAAACTCGATTTAACTGTGCTATTACCCAATCAGACACTTGCATTTTGAAGATAAACGGAGAGTTTATGCATTGAATCGCGTTGAAGAAAAAGGGCTTTTATACAGTGCTTTCAAAAACCCACGTTGTTAACCCAGATTGTATTTTATAAACCGCGAGATGGCACTGGTAGGATTTATCAAATTTAGACTGATTTACGTTAGTTTAACGGCACTTTATTCCCTGGCTCGAATAGATTTTTAAACCGGAGTTGCGCAAGACGACTTTAAATACTTTATTAGACATGTAAAATGTAATTTCGATATTTTCTTTATGTGGATAGGAAAGGAAATTTTAACTTGTTTATGTTCCTGTTAGTGGAGTAGAGTGAAATTTGCGATATACAAATTGGACCAGGAGACCAAACCGGAATAATTTCATAAGTTACAGTACAGCGGTTTAAAGTGTATTATTTAGTCTTGAGTAACTGTAATATGACAAGTGAAACCTGTACGCATTAACTACGAATTTGATCTAGGCATTGAAATTGATTATGAATGGATGAACAAACAGGTTTTGACCTCAACACCAACTGATGAATGCTCTAATGAGGGGAAAAGTCCAGAGAGATCAAGCTGGAGACCTTATGACATTAATTTGGTTTTTCTACACTTATGGTAAATATTCAATCACATAATGTAAATGTGTGCAGGAAACTGTTATACAATATGACATATTAATTATATGAAGTGCAAATACCTTGAGTTGGAAAATATGCTAATTGTAAAACATTGAATCTCTGAAGTATTGACTTCATCGATGACTAAAATGCTGTGACAGTTATAGAACAGAAAAAATTAAGCAGTGATTCACATTGTTCTGTCAATGTACTTATGAGTAAAAATTATATGAATATTAAACATTTATTTATAGTCCTATAAACTAATGCTTAAAAAATTTTGATGTATTATATTGTTCGTTCCAACAAACATGGTTGAATTACTATAAGAATGAAGATGAGTATAGATGATTTTGAATTAGGAATGAAGTGAAGTAAGACAATCTTACTTGCAGTCTTAGGTTAGTAAAGATTAGTTCTATAAAGTTCATTGAAGAGAATTAAGATACTGTTCCCTATTAAAGTAGAAGTCAAATAAATTCTTTAGTCCTGTGAGAAAGTGGAATAGTTAGTGGTCAATCATTTAATAATCATCTAAATGAAATTTATAAAAAACATAAATTCTGAAGTCTTGTACTATAACTTCTCTATAGAATAAAGTTAATTTTTATTATATTATCGATGAATGAACATTTTAAATGGAAGTTTTCTTAAACTAAATACTATAAAAAATAATATATGTATAAAGTATGAGATGTCTATACAATACTATAGGATGAAGGAAAGTTTTCTCAAACAAAAAATTTTACATGATACTATTTACGTTGTGTGTTTTCCAAATAATTAGTTTCATTACAAGCAATTAAAACAATACAGGAAAATGTAATCTCCCCTCTCCTTCCCGCCAATTCCACTGCAGTATCATGAAGACTGGATCGAGTTTAGACATTTTAGCGGAATCAAACAGATGTGGCCACTAAACGAATTTTTAAGCGTTCTAAAGGTAAATTTTATTATCTTACTAAAACATTCAATAATACGTTATTGGTTACCTCCGCCTAAATTACTTAGTCTACTAACCCCCATCCCTGATGCAAAAATATTCCAGCATCGCTCTAAAATTTGTTCAGGCCAATGGCGATTCTCCATTCCGCATCCCCGTAACTCCTCGACCAATGACACAGCCAAGAATCGATGCCCCACCCCAAAAAGTAAACCAAATGGAATTCAAGTCGAATATCCGCATGGCCCTCTACGATCCGCAATACGGGTAAGAAAATAAACGCAATAGGGAGAACACAAGGACAGCCAAAGTACAGAGCAGCGTGATGGTAACAGTAACTTGGTAAGTCACCTAGTGGCGCTACTGTGCTCGTACGGAAGTTTTGCGTGCCATCGCATACAAAACAAATGCACGATTCTCCGCATTCTTCGTCTTCAACCGAGGACGATGAGAGTCTGTGAAGGGTAGAATGGGTTTTTCAAGGAGGTTACTTTTTTTTGGGTCCTTTGGGACGCTTGGGGCACTCGATTCCGTCTTATGTTAACTACATTTACGGTATCTGCATCCTGAGTAATATCCCAGGAGAATATGGACATCATTTTCGAAAAACTTTTTTCTCTAAGAATATTTGGTTGTCCCACGTGGATGAGTGATGCATGAATAATTAAATTATACCTTTTTTTTTAGATATTCTCGGCATATATCATTTTGTCATATATCTACCTCGACGAAATCGTTTTTATTGACACACAATGAATACTGTACGTTTAAGGTGCGAGTGTATTTTAAATTGAGTGTCCAAGGATTCTTAAATTTTAAAGACAAAATTGCGCCAAAAGAAGAAAAAAGGAAGCATCTCTTTACACGTTGAATTAGGAGAATTTTCGAGAAATAAAAATATTCCCTCGCGACATCGTCACATTGAAAATTCCATAATATTCTCGAAACATGGTGTAGGACCGTATCTTGATTCTTTATGCAATACCGATCTATATGCATGAGCAATGGCGTTAGATTAGGAGTCGTAAAGTGGCGGTAGCCAGGAGAAAGAAAAGATAAGGCAAGATTAACGGGACTTTCCGAAAGCCAACAACGTTGAAGACACTTGGAACCAAAGCTACGTGAGGTCAAACTTGACGTACAGCTCGAACTAAACCGTCATATGCAAATATGTGCGCGTACCTTCCGAAAAATGTTTAAAAAATGTGCACGTGTAAAATTCCATAAGATTATAAGATCAGGCCGTCCCTGGTCCCAGGGTAACAGGGTATGCATTAATAAAACAAAAGAGCGCCCGTATTAAGACCAGTAAGTGCACGAGAACCCTTTTGTTGTTTCGAGAATACTATTCGAACTTCAAAATTAGTAAGTTGCAAGCATGAAGAAAAAAAAGGTTAGAAAGATTATAAAGACGTGCAAGTGACTCTACTTCCAGTATCAGGAAGAGTGGATATGCGTGTCCGCACATAAAAGTGAGATATGCGCGTGCTCTTGTCAGGAGTAAAGTAGTAAGAGTACCGCGTCCAAGCAGACAAGGTACAGCAGATAAGGGACAGCCAGCCGCCCTTACAGTGTCTAGTCCGTCCTGCACAGCGGGGTCCAACGTCGCGGCAAACGTCTTCTCGAGCATGCGTGCAACCATCATATTGATCTCGCCATAGTAACGATTCTCTACTCGGGTTTGGCGTTCACACATTTACAAAAGAACTTGGCGCGCACACACGCAAATACCGAAAGCGTGTTGAGAAGTGATAGCAATACGCGTATGTATCTACACTACCGACAGGTGGCTCTGTGTGCTACTGCAGCTCAGACGAAGAATTGAAGCAGTAGTGGTATTTGGTTATGGTGGGGGGGTTATAGAGCAAGAGGGACGAGAATACACAGGGTTGCATGTGTATATATATACAAACACAGCAATGGCAGCGGCAGATATGGTGGCGACTGTGCGCGGTTGGAGGGGCGGTGATATCCCCATACAGATATATTAGCTCTGGGTACGATATAGGTATATCGGCAGTGGGTTAACTCGTGCCGATGCCAGATGCATATAGATATAGTTTGACCGTTGGCATGGGAAGGCGATGGTAATGGTGGTAGCTATATACAGATATACAGCTGGTGCTGTGCAAAGCGTTGAGTGGTGGGGGTAGAAGCGTCTAGCGCTCGCGCTCTGCAACGCAGTAAAATCAGTCCAGCGTCAGACGCCGTGGAAGGCGCATCACCTCGCACGTAAACGAGTTATCGCACGAGATGCGACTGGTGCATTCGCATAGGTTGCGTGTGGCCGAGACTGCGAGACGACACTACCAAAAACGGGATATTCGCGACTTCTCTTATCATCATCGCAATCACTCGTGCCCGCTGTTGCATTTCATAACGCAGTCACTCGTTTAAAACATGTAACGGACATTCCTCTCTTACTATTGAGCATTATCCATGTCTCGTATAAATGTGATTGTTAATCTTTGAGGATTTAATCAGCATACGTCGAACGGTTCTTTCATACTTTCTCTCTCTCGCTCTTTGATTCTCTATTCATTGCATATATGTCTATTACGGGTATTTGGCATACGTACGTCTGGCGCTCGCGTAATACTCGCCATTGTCTCCTGTGCTCCCGTTTCACTTCACATCTCTCCTTCTTCCTTGAAAAGAGAGAAACCGTATAAATCGTCGAAGGGAAGGTCGGAATAAATATTAAAAAATACGAGATTCCCAGTAACCGTGATATCCCTCTCATACTGTCTACTGTTGTTGACGCAATTTTCGGTGAATTAATATGTACGGTCAGTAACGTCGCCATCATCTTCAGCGTCTGAGGTAGAATTGAAAAAAGAGATAGAGCATTTAACGGACGAGCTGCCACAAGGTTTGAAGGTGGAAACTGCTGCTGGTGACGATCAAGGTGCTACAGGAGATATTGTTATCGGATGGGCTCGTAGAACTTGTCTTTAATAGCCTGGAAATTATTTGCTGTGTCGAGACAGCATTATTATGTCCCATGATGTTCCGCGGTAACCGGAGAAACGCACTGCACGGGACCTCCTGCAGTCACGTGCAGGATGCAACTGGCCGGGACGTCGTTGCCAGAGTGAAGTAAGCCCACTAGCGCCCGTGGACGTGGTTGACTATCTCGGACACGCGGGGTTTCGCCATTGCATATACCACAACGGAACAGGATGAGCGCCTGGGCCCTCATGGCGGTTATCGCCCTGGCTGCGACTGGTGAGTGTCTGTTTATTATTATAACTATTAATATTAATATGATTACTATTATCGTTATTTATTATTATTCCAAGGGCGCTTTATCACTCGACGATAATCTTTATTTTCTTTATGTCTCTTTTGTTATTGTTTTACTTGAAATATTTGTTGTTCTTTTTTTCCTTTTCACTAAAGAGTATATTATGTATTCGTACCGATATAATAGTGTGTGTTGTCATTGTGCAATACGCTCCAGCACCTACATTCGGTGAATTTTTGTCGATCAACTAATTTCGCCACTTTTTTGAGGGCATCTTTAAAGTGGATATGACGGAGGTAACGATAAGTCATATGAGCATTTGCGTGGACAGGACTTCGTACGTGATATTTTTGAAAATTAAATTTAGAGCAAGGAAATTATGACATACGTGTTCCTTTTTATGGTGCAGGATTACGCAGGATGTTGCATCTGTGTATGTGTGTGTTTCTGTATGCGATTTTGCTCTACCCATATTTACCTTTTATTCATTATTATTTTCTTATCTTTTATCATGGAAATCATGGAATAGATTTTTGAAAAGTTTCAGGGTAAATATTTTTTGTCATATAGTCACATACAGGAAAAATTATTTTACTTTGTTTCTATATTATTAATATTCACGATCTCGTTTTGAAAATTGCTCATTTTTCCGGCTTTATTTACTTTATAGCTTGGCTGACGTTTCTTTATTTGTCTGTGAATATTAATCATATTACAGCTATTTTTTTTTACAACGGCACCTTGCCAACGAAATAGATAATAAACATTGGCACGAGTGATCGAGACTTTTCATGATGTAAATTAAAATTTCAAACCCCTCCTAAAAAGGACCAGCACTATCATATCGATTATCGGGGAAAACTTTTTCGACTGCTGCTTTAGTATCCAATATTCCTATAAAAATATGTCAAAAGTGAAATCTAATAAAATTAGAGCTATACGTTATGCACAACCTGTAATTTTATTTTCTCATGATTGGCAAGATGACAGGAAAGGCCAAGACAAGCGTCGCAAAATTTCTAGCCATGACCAAAACACATTTTGTCTCCTTTTACTTCGGATAGGCGAGTTTGCATTGAAGCGAGGAGAATCGTTCCCTCCCTGCGCCCATTCAGAGAATGAGTGGCAGGATGGTGGCAGAGAGGGGAAAGAGAGAGAGGAGAGACAGAAGGGTATAGATAGATACGTACTTATAACACACGTGGGAATATTTCGAAATTATCGGAATACTAAGTGCATCACGGAATGGCGTTCGCAGAGTGTTTTGAAAAGGCCTGAGGAGAATTTTCAATTTTCAATATATTATAATTAACGAAGGGTGCTTCGCGAGTGATCGTGGCTACGTGTTTCATGGCCTTTCTATGTCTCTTTGGTACTTGACCTCCTCCTGGGGATATAAAGCCAATGGGTAAGGTAGGTAAGGAATACGAGTATAATCCATATGTCTATTTATCGTTACGTTTTACGTATGTTCGCGAGTCTTTGCCGACCAATGAAAAGTCCCGGGCTTTCGCGTGGCGCCTTTATGAGAAATAACATTTCCACGAAAAGTCATATTGTGGATGCGCATACAGGCTTTCTTTTGCTTGAAAAAAAATTGTATACACTGAGAAAGAAAAGATCGAGTAAAACAGTATCGACCAGCTGCGTATTTCGTTAATTTGAACTCAGCTGTGTCTCGCGTAAGCAAATAATCGGTAGGATAGACTGCGACTTGTATGTATCGAAAGTGTCTGTTTCATTTAAAAGATTTCTCGTTTACCTCAAACGATGTTTCTTCGTGGATATCTCATATTGGTTTACATAAAAAAAGCATTAGCTATCTCCACTATCTAATTCAATCGTAGAACCACAAAGTTTAATCATTTAATGTGAATTCACGGAAATAGTTTCTTATCGAAAATATTCTTTTTTGCCACTTGAACCGTCACTCGAGCCAGTATCTTTTTTAATCGAACTAAACAGTTTTACATAGCACGGTAACGTATCACTATACGAATAAAAATATTATCGGCGCATCTAACGAATCAGTCTGTTTCACTAATTGACGAAGCTCAGCTATTCAATGCAAACACGTATTCTTCGAGTGAAACAAGGTCATTCGTTAAATTTAACGACTCTCACGTAGTTTTCACTAGGTCTAGGTAAATTCGATCAAATACTTGGTCTTTGCTAATAATTGCAACGGTCTTCCAGCCACGGGTAACATTTAGCTGACTACAATTGTGCATACCGTTCGCTATCCGTAACCGTAGTATTTGATGAAATAAAAGAAAAGTTGGTTGCTTTAAAAAAATAAATGTCTCAGTACAAACGACCAATGTCCAATGTTAAATCGAGAGTGATGCTTTTGGCGTATCTTGCACCTGGAAAAGGAACAGCTGCGTGTCATGTCTAATGAGGAAAAAGAAGGGAAGGGCAATGAAGCGTAATAAAGGAATAACAAAGGAAAAGAACAGTTGACAGGTATTTTGACAGGAGGCTGTGAGAAAATTGCACGGTACGAAAGACGTGGTAAATAATAAAGAAAAAAAAAAAAAAAAACAGTTTAGTTATCGAAAAAAAGTTGCAGGGTGGTTTTTTTTCTAAAGCAAAAATATTCTCTCAATGGTATGTGTATATATGTATACAATAGAGCTTAATGAGAATGAAAAGAAATATAATATATATATATATATATATGCCCCTCTATATAAAAACAATACAGCTAAATAAAATTTACTAAAAAAGCGTAACACGTAACAAACTGCGGGGGCCCAACGGTTAGCGAGTCTTTGCCGACCAATGAAAAGTCCCGGGCTTTCGCGTGGCGCCTTTATGAGAAATAACATTTCCACGAAAAGTCATATTGTGGATGCGCATACAGGCTTTCTTTTGCTTGAAAAAAAATTGTATACACTGAGAAAGAAAAGATCGAGTAAAACAGTATCGACCAGCTGCGTATTTCGTTAATTTGAACTCAGCTGTGTCTCGCGTAAGCAAATAATCGGTAGGATAGACTGCGACTTGTATGTATCGAAAGTGTCTGTTTCATTTAAAAGATTTCTCGTTTACCTCAAACGATGTTTCTTCGTGGATATCTCATATTGGTTTACATAAAAAAAGCATTAGCTATCTCCACTATCTAATTCAATCGTAGAACCACAAAGTTTAATCATTTAATGTGAATTCACGGAAATAGTTTCTTATCGAAAATATTCTTTTTTGCCACTTGAACCGTCACTCGAGCCAGTATCTTTTTTAATCGAACTAAACAGTTTTACATAGCACGGTAACGTATCACTATACGAATAAAAATATTATCGGCGCATCTAACGAATCAGTCTGTTTCACTAATTGACGAAGCTCAGCTATTCAATGCAAACACGTATTCTTCGAGTGAAACAAGGTCATTCGTTAAATTTAACGACTCTCACGTAGTTTTCACTAGGTCTAGGTAAATTCGATCAAATACTTGGTCTTTGCTAATAATTGCAACGGTCTTCCAGCCACGGGTAACATTTAGCTGACTACAATTGTGCATACCGTTCGCTATCCGTAACCGTAGTATTTGATGAAATAAAAGAAAAGTTGGTTGCTTTAAAAAAATAAATGTCTCAGTACAAACGACCAATGTCCAATGTTAAATCGAGAGTGATGCTTTTGGCGTATCTTGCACCTGGAAAAGGAACAGCTGCGTGTCATGTCTAATGAGGAAAAAGAAGGGAAGGGCAATGAAGCGTAATAAAGGAATAACAAAGGAAAAGAACAGTTGACAGGTATTTTGACAGGAGGCTGTGAGAAAATTGCACGGTACGAAAGACGTGGTAAATAATAAAAAAAAAAAAAAAAAAAAAACAGTTTAGTTATCGAAAAAAAGTTGCAGGGTGGTTTTTTTTCTAAAGCAAAAATATTCTCTCAATGGTATGTGTATATATGTATACAATAGAGCTTAATGAGAATGAAAAGAAATATAATATATATATATATATATATGCCCCTCTATATAAAAACAATACAGCTAAATAAAATTTACTAAAAAAGCGTAACACGTAACAAACTGCGGGGGCCCAACGGTTATTATTGTCATTATCAGAGTAACGCGATAGGTTTCTTTTTTTTTTTTTTTTACTTTTGTTCATTTCTATTTACGTTACGTGAATCTATGGTATTTCTTGACTCTCGTCACTCTCTTTTTTGGTTTTTTTTTTTTTTACGACGATGCCTTTCACTTTGTCTCTTTTGCGCCTAACTTCACTTTTGTCTCTTATCCGTTGAAGAAGAATTTTGTTTACCTTGATTGAATTTTTCGTACTTTCATTTGTCTACTTCGTAACGTTCATAATTTGCCATTATGCATATACACGCCCGCCACGAAACTCCTTCGCCTTACTTACTACTTTGTGCCTTACTTCGCACTTTGTCTACTCTGCGGCTTACTTACTCACTTACTATACCTACTTACTTACTTACATACTTACTTGCTTACCACACCGGGCTACTGGACTATGAATACGTCCTTCAACATTTATCCGATCGCAAGCAATGCAGACAGATTATTATATATACCCATACGGAGCGCTCTATTCAATAACTATATATTGCGAGAGCTCTATGTGAAATTTGCAAATTTGCAGGAAATCTTTGAGTTTCGTATGGTGAACCTTTGTGTGGGTTTAAATAGTCTAAGATACAGGCTGGAATAATGATCAGTGTATTACCAGAGAAAAAGACACTGACGTCCACAGTGGACAAGGTACAGTAATCCCGGAGGCATGTAAAAAAAGTAATGTGAATTTTTATCACTAATAAAAGTTTTGCTCGTACTATGATATATTTACCCGCTGAAAGCTGCTGGTGACTCGCAGAGTGGAAGAATGATGGGAGAAGCCATGGGAAATCTAATAGAAAGGAACGGGGTTCGTTGACTAGGGACTGTAGGTGTGGGAATTGAAAATGACTCGGAAATGGTGTATAATATTGAGGACAGTATCATCTGTTA